TACGCCGTACGACCCCCTTGTCGTCTCGTATATCAGGAGATCGACCTCGGGGCTCTCGATCTTTGAGGATGTCAGACCTCCCCTGGGTGGGTTTGGAAGAGTAAAAAGTGGGAACTAGATCTCGAATGCCGAGAGTGGGTGATGGAACGCATGGTCACTGGTGTGGAATTCGAAATACCCGATAACAATGATGGCATTATTAGTGAGGAAATAGGAGGCTGGGTATGGGATCTGCCGTTTAACAGGCCAGATGATGAGCATGCCGTCGATATACTGGCTTACACGGACTCGTGGGAAAGCCCTCGAAGGAATGCGCAAATGGCTGCCCAAACGAGCAAGCGTTCTAACCAGAAAGACAAGCCTGAATGGGAAGAAGCCACAAAACAAGTTGACAGAGCTGGCGACTGGAGAAGGAGACGCTGGGTCAGGGTTGTCCGAAGGATGACCATTGATGAAAAGGCAGTGAAAGCAACGCCAGTATCTTCTTGACCACATCACCTCTGTGTTTTTAGTGCTGTTTGGTGCCTAAGACTGGATACGGTTTAATTATTCAGAGGATCCGGGGTGGAAAAAATCTTAACGAGGAAAGGGCCAGTTTTAATCATGGTGTATTGCTCCTGCCTCTCTGGCTATATTGTTGTTGTGGGATTGGACCGACAACAGCTCCTGTCACAAATCTCGGTTATCCCATGGTACGGCTGTTTGAATCCGACGCATACCGCCAAAGCTCCCTATTGATGCTCTATGTGACTTTAGCAGTATCCCAGATATCAGAGCCGCAATTATGACCCCTACTATGGGATGCCACAATCCCGCTCTGACTCGTCGGGCTCCTCCAGATCATCCCCTTAGTAGCAGCAGTGGCGAAAAAGATTTCCCTAACTCCATTTGATTTATCATCATCGAGTACATCTCGAAGAAAAGGCCACTTTGGTAGCGGAGGCTTACAGGAGCTAGCTCCATGGTCTTCGTCTAAGATACAGGAACTCAAGCGAGCTCTTGAAGGTGATGACGCTAATGCACCGAACGTGTCAGAAGGAGATATGAATGGAGCAATTCAGTGAATATCAATCTAAAGCTTCCTGCTCTCGCAAGTTTCAATGCCATTTCCAGAGCCTTCATCTGCCTCATCTTATGCCATCCAATCATCTATACAGGCGTTCGCCCCAGAATCAAATCTCTCTATGTGTATACATTGAACCATAATTTCTAATGAATTCCTTAGCAAGAGTGTTGGAATTGAAGGTGGTTCGAATGGATGTGACCCAACGCAGGAAACTGTTGAACATTCATGATAGGGATAAGGAAAATACCACCGTCTCCTGACCCTCAGGCTACGCCACATTATGCTGTTCCGGAGACCCTGTTTTCACCCTCAGCTTGTGGTCAACCACCGAAAAGGAAAATCATGGAAGAGGAAACGAGCCAGCTGGTGGTCTCCTAGCATCGCGACATATATGACATCAATAGGGAAGTGTTTATAGGGAAGACGTTAATGGAATCGCCCAACCTTATGCATGCTGAAGGATTAGCCCAATATGAAACGCTTCATACCCGTCTCACAAGGGGGTACTACTCCGCGACGAGGTTGAATAGCTCTCCAATGGGTGGAAATCGCTTCCTCACCGCATACATATGAACTTGGATTTTTCTAGAAGATTACACCCTCTTAGAATTTAGCTAAAAAATCAATGGCTCGATTTTTGAATTTAGTATTCTTTATCATCATATTTTGGTCTCACTTTGTGTGCGAAAAGGATAGACCCAACAATTAGCTGGGAATACTAAGGATTTGGCCGCGGGTTATCAATTGCCTCGCGGTTTCAAGTTGCAAAGCTTCGCGGGCCGAGCCGAAGTAATTGACCAACTGGTTATCAACTAGCGCTAGAGTTACATAGTTATTTTGCTCTAAACTACGGGGTATTTACCCTGGTTTGTTTGAAGTCAGTGATGATCAACGCTTATCTCGACTTCTGCTGCTTTTTGTGCTCACCACTCAGGTACTCAATATAATTATTTAGGCTGAAAAAAGTAGATATAATTAAACAAGATCCGATAAAACGTTCCCAATTTGTCCTCAATACATGAGCCCTCTTTTTTTTTTTTTTTTTTTTTTTTTTTTTTTTTTTTTGAAAAAAAAAAAAAAAAACAGATTTTATTGTTGCCTCATAACTACTTGCTTGCCTGTAATACATATTTTTAATTAACTACTGGGTCACCACCTGTTTCTGAACTCCATTCGTTCCCATATCGCCGCCCAGGATGGAATAAAAGCACGTAGAAGATCTCCGGAAAAGTCGAATAAAATCAAGCAAGCTGAGAGCAACTATTGCAAGAACAACTTCTGTTTCACCTCCTAATGCCAGAATGCGAAATTCTAGTCAACTGTACGACTTTTCAATGGTTATACTTATCGCAAATCAGACTAGAACAAGGAAGGCAACGATGAGGCCGAACAAATACGCCAGCTTAGCATCCGTCGTATTCTCTTCAGCAGCATTGACAACAGTAGAAGTGGTAATGCTGAAGGTTGGTGAAGAGTGAACAGAGGTGCCATTGGCGCTAACTGTCAAAGTAGTGGAGGTAAATGAGACAGATGCAGTGACTACTTCTGTAGAGGCAGAAACAACAGGCATAGTGAAGCGAGTCTGAGTAGCACTAGTTGTCTTGGTGGTTTGCATAGTTTGGGTTGGGAGCACTGAAGCAGAAGAAGTTTCGGCAGGGGTATAGGTCACAATGCTAGTGGGATGAATTGTGCTAGTGGACAAGGTGACACTAGTCTGAGTAGCTTCCTTTGACTCAGTGGTTGGTGACTGCTGAGGCTGCTCAATGACCTCAGTCCCAGTCATTGCATTAGTAGTTGTGGACGTTGGAGCAGATGACATGAAAGTGATAAACATGGTGGTTGTAGTAGTCGAAGTGCTTGAAATTGTGGTGTCCGTCACAATTGGCTCGAGAGTGACCATATCCGTAGACCAGGGAGAAGTGGTTGAAGCCGAGGGAAGAGACGCTGTAAACTTAGGAGGCTCCGAGGTAGGTTGAATAGAGGCAGAGCAGTGTGTAGAAGAGGCTGTAGTTTCCTCGTGCTTGGTGGTAACTTCAGTGATAGAATAGCTGATCAGGGGCTCAGGGGTAACCATGCTTGGAATTTCACGAGTGCGAGCACTAGTCCAGAGGCTAGTGAGGACAACATCAGTCGTAGTCGTGGTAGTGGAAAGTGTGGTAGTGCTTTCAATAGGAAGTTCAGAAAGAATACCAGAGCCGTCAGGTGACTTTCCATGCTGGGGAACAGGGACAAACGTGGAAGCAACCGATTCAGTTCGAAGCGAAGCAGATGACTGAGCAACTTTGCTTTCAGGGGCCAAGGTCAAGCCAGCAGACTTAGTAATCTGAGGGACAGGAGCCAGTGTAGCAAAAACGGACTCAGTGGGGACGCTCTGAGGTGCTTTGACAGGTTCCTTGATAGCGAAGAAAGTGGAAGCCACTGGCTGGGTTCCAATCAAAGACCTAGGGGATTTCACGGATGGCATTGGGGTTCTCTCAGGTACTGGTGACATTGAGACCATGCCTTTGCCTTTATGCAAGCAAGTTGCATCTCCCGCGGTTTCGGAGGATTCGAAGCCTGGTTTTGTCAGGTTAGTACATGATACTGTGCAGTGCATAATCAGTAAGGTATATGATATCAGAGACACATACACATAGCATTACGGTCGCCCAGACTAAACGGAGAGATAGATATCAGCAAGTGATACTTAGTATGTAGGAGTGAGAAATCACGTAACAGACGCGTCAAGGAACATTGAATGGAGCTATAGGGCTTACTATTTCTTGCAGCTGATGGTTTTAACAATCGAGTTTCCCACGCATTTGATCACCATAGGGCCATTGCGGCCTTCATAGCAGAAATCTCCATCAGGAGCTGGGCAGTAGATAACAGTGACACTTCGACGGCTATAAAATGACAAGACGTTAGAATAAGCATAAACAAGCTTAAATGGATAAGCTCAAGACTGGGAGCTTCTCTGAGGCTCTGCCATCTATATGCATGTGGGTGAGTGAGCAAGAAGAGGGCGCCATACATGAACTGGCGGGCGTCAACGCCATAGAGAAGTGACAATAACGCGGCAAGAAGAAGATAAATCTTCATCTTGACGGGCAGAGGAGAGCAAAGGAGGTTAACGCGGTGTTTCAGCTGCTGCAAGGTGCCTTTGAGAGGAGCAGGTGCTGGTTATAGTATGGGAGTAGAGGTTGTAGAAGAGAAGAAAGGTTTGTTGTTGTGAAGGTGAAAGGAAAGGTATTTATAGGGTGCCTGGAGGACAGGCTAGTGAGGGGTGCAGGACAGCCTTCACTTTGGACCACTACTGCACAGTCACTAGGTGAGGAAAGGTGAAGTGAAGGGGATTTTGCCGGTATGACAGGCATTCAGCCTAGAACAAAGATAAGTCTTCTTTGGCTGTTACTCTGGTATAGCTGCTTGCAGACACTTGCTGCTCCAGGCATAAAAGGAGCAAGGCTTGGGTATGAAGACTCAAAGGGCCCTCGCTGCACGGGTATAGAAGAGGGAATGACACAACAACTTGTACCCTATATCTGGCTCAACACCGGTAAGAAACAGCATTCTTCCTGGGAGACCTCATTATATGGTATAATTAAGATGGCTAAGAGACAGAAGAAGTATAGCAAGAAACAACAGCCCATGCTCTATATCCCAGCTTTTGGCTCATGAGAAAGTAGAAAATATACCAACCAGGGAAAACGCCTTGTCCTTGAAAAAGATCAGCAGTGAGCCCATATATGTCTCCTCTATATCGGATATAAAAAAAACAGTCAGTTGTCGCTCGAACCTATTCATTTTCATTTCTAGCTCTCATCTTCTTCAGCCTCCTTGCAATGTCTGCCTCGGTTTGTTGCATAGGGTTAAGTTTTCTATCCTTTGCCATCTGGGCAGTATCATCGCCATATTTTTGTATCAATCTCTCAAGCCACTCTTCCTCTCTCTTGCTCTGGTGTCTGGGTTTTCTGTTTTTTAATAGTTCTTCCTGAGCAGCAGCTTGTTTCTCTAGCTCAGTCACCACATCAAATGACGAGGTGCCGCTGAGATCACTGAGGGCCATATCAGTGTCCACTGGTAAATCCTCTAAAGGATCATTAAGGGGGTTATCCCTTCTTCGTTTCCGTCCGGCGACTTCAATGGTCTCATCCTCCTCGTTATCCCCGCTGATGACTCGCAGAATCTTTCCAGTTTCCGGATCACGTTCAACACGGACTTCCCCTGGCTGGAGTTTCTTGCTTCGTTTCTGTGTGAGCGGTACATGGAAGGGCTCGCTTGGACCAGACCGTGTGATATCGCTTTCATCCTTGGATATCTTTTTCTCTACTCCTCCCGCAGGGGCATTCAAGCGAGGCGTCAGGCCAAGTCGGCGATAGTTTTGGGTAAGTGTTAATCTCTTGTCCCTGCAAACAAACGTCAGCGTCTATTCTTCCAGCCCCTATAGCTGCCAGAGTTCTCCAGGTCCTTACCAGTTATTCTTGATAATAGCGTTGCCAAAGACGTTTATCTTCTTATTTCCATTCTTGGCCTTCTTGCTCTTATGCTTCACCCTCGGGTTCGAAGATCGGTTCTTCTTCTTCTGTAACACCTTCCCCATCTTTCCTCTGTGAAATCTCAAGCTAAGGTAAAAGCACAATCGGTCTTCTTCGACTTGCTTCTCGTTGTTTTATCTCGCTTCAAAACTTTTTTTTCCTATCGCGAAGTTTGTCGTCACAGGTCTTGGCAGATAGCTGCTTATATAATCTTATCTTCAACCACTATCAAACCGCCAACTCTCGACTATCAACTATCAATATCAGCCGTCAAACATCAACTATTTTACGCCAGGTTTATCCAGGACGTATTGTGCGGGTACGAGAGAATCACAGCCACCTTGTCCCAATCATAATCAGAGTGAAACCAGAATGAAACTCTTCTCCGTGTAATATGTCGCAGCAACTTTCAACCAGCCTCAACCCGTCATTACCATAGATGATAGGGAAACCGCAAATCCTATGGTCCTCGTAAAGAAAAACATGGACCACTATTGATGATTATAGTTGTGAGCCTATAGCGATTATCAAATTGAGGTTGTTATGTGGCGATTCTTAATTTTTTTTTTTTTTTTTTTTTTGGAGAGTTCGTCTAAAATACATGGCAGCAATAATCGAACTGTATGTAAATCATCATTACCGAGTAGTATTTTATCTATCTATCAGCTGCTAGAGCTCATGTACTACCTATCATTAGTGACTGGCCGGAGAAGATGTGATTCATCATACGATCAATGTCGTGTGCCACCGAATCGCTAAATCCGCGATGACCGATCTCCTGCAGGGCTGGCCCGGTTTATTCTAGCTAGCAAAGCTAACTAGCGTGGATGGGGCGATGCGATTTCACGACACCCTCCCACACCAACGCCTCCTGTCAAGTTGCATAACTACAGCGGCATTCAGTGGTTAACCATGGCACGCTCGATTGGAATCTCCGCCGTCTACAGCCGGCTATGGCGCTTTCTAGCTGTGCTTGTACTCGTCGTTGTTCTTACACAAGCTACGGGTACATCAGTCAAGGCTGGCACGAGCGAGCTGACGGTGTCCCAGATCGAGGAGAAGCTGCAGGTAAATAAGGGGTCGAGGGAGATGTTGGTGTACAAATGAAGACGATCTAACTATCTAACTCCGTGTCTGGCCGTGTAGGAGTGTCCTCTTGTTCAATCGCTTAATGCGCAGAAACTCGCCAACGCCCCTGAGACGGCCAGTTTGACATCTAGGGTCTTTGCGGTTTTGTTCCCTGGCAGTCCTGCTGTGAATGCCATTCTTGCTACCATCTACATCTCTGGACCTCCCAGTAAGTAACTCTCACTACCTACTTGACCTATGAAGAACCAATCTTAATACTGTTTGTTGTGTGTACTTGCCAGACTTCCTACTAGCATTATGTCCTCCAAACATCGACCCATCTTCCCTCTCAATAATGGTAGCCTTTGCAGTTGGAGGCCTGCTAGGAGACACCCTCTTCCACCTACTACCTGAAATATTCCTTGGAGAAGACTCTCCAGAACACGTGCGGTTCGTGATGGTTGAGCCAAACAAGAATTTAATTCTCGGCCTGGCGATTCTCGTTGGTTTCGTGACTTTTGTGGCCATGGATAAAGTCCTCCGGATTGCAACTGGAGGGGAAGGACACCAGCACGGTCACTCGCATGAGCATGGCCATAGCGAAGATTCTGGACTAGTGGCAGCCACAGGCGTGTCGGCCGGGGATGATAAGCACGGTAACCTGAAGCAGCGGAAACAAGCAGCGGGTTCTGCTGGTGCCGCCTCGGAAGGTCAACCAGACACTGGACCAAGTAACAACCCCAGTGTCAAGTTAGGAGGTTACCTGAATTTGATTGCAGACTTTACGCATAATATCACTGATGGACTAGCCATGTCTTCGTCCTTCTACGCCTCTCCCACTATTGGCGCGACTACGACCGTTGCAGTCTTCTTCCATGAAATTCCACATGAAGTCGGTGATTTTGCCCTTCTGATCCAGTCTGGCTTCTCCAAGCGTAAAGCCATGGGTGCTCAGTTCGTTACGGCTATCGGAGCGTTTATCGGGACTTTCATTGGAATCGCCATCCAGGAATTTGGGGGCGGTGGGTCTTCATCCACAGTATCTGGAGTAGCTTCTCCAGGCTTGCTAGGAACTAGTCTTACGGTTGGTGACTTACTACTGCCTTTTACGGCTGGAACGTTCCTTTACGTTGGAACGGTAGCGGTTATCCCAGAACTGCTGGAGACAGGTAAGGATAAAGGAGTGGAGACCAGAAAGACCCTGATGCAGTTTGCTGCCATGGCTGCCGGAGCCGGTATAATGTTACTGTACGTCTATTCATTTCTTTTCGATGGCTTTTTCTTCAGTTGCTAACTTGCTTCAAGGATATCCTGGGACTAAAAATAACAAGTGGTTTAATATGAAGTAGAAGTCTATTTGAGTAAACGCAGGAAGATATAGATAAAATGAAATATCAAATCCAATCAAGGACCAGCCCGCCTAGATGTCCATTTGCTGATTGAAAGGGGAACTCCGATCAGTTACTCCACAGCTTGTTTGTCTCATGCCAATTCATTGTCTGTCTTTGACTTCCGACTTTGACCCTACATTATAAAAAACAAAAAAGCAAGAGCAAGAAAAAACCACTTGAACACCCCCTGAACAGATCTAAAGGAAATTTGGTTCTCACACGTGGAGAATATGGAAAAGGCAACAGCAACGCAGCAACAAACTAATTGAAAGGGAAAAATATGCATCATATGCAAAGGTTCAGCGCGCCAGAAAAGGGGAGGCAAAGAGATTAACAAAAAAAGAAAATGTTAAAAACAGCGAAAAGGGGATAAGAAGCGAAAGGTTATGATATCTGGTACAAAGGTCTAAGAATGATACGAGCATACGTAGCCGTTGGTAGGTAGAATAAAAAGGGTAGTAAGATAAAACCGGTGATAGAAGGGGAACGTAAGAGGGTCGGACATGGAGAAATGGTTATTCTCACTCGTTATAATGATATACCTAAGATGGAGAGTTAGTGATGGAAACAGTGGAAGGGGGTTGGGTGCTATTGGGAGAGAGACGTACAAAGTAGTTTGGAAGACCGTAGCACTTCCACCCGAGTCTTCGTGCCATTTTGGCGAATCCCTCGGACTCGACGAGGTGGTAGAAGGGGAAAGGGGGGAACATGGCTCCGTCCCGGTGAACGGCAGCCTTGACCATCAAAGCGGTTCCACCTACACCGTCGAGCTCCATGATCTCGCGGGTATTTCTCTCTGGTGATCTGTCTGCGCTGAGGGCCATCAGGTTTCTGTAGGTGGGTAGTTCACCATACCCTTCTAGCATGATCTCATCACGGCCCATGCTGTTGGCAATGTCGAGAGACCGGGGGGTGTCGGTCCACGAGTTATAGTCGTACGGCCGAATATCCATCTCTTTGGTGTCCGGGTTGAAGAATCTTTGGTAGCAGTTTGCTACAAGCACAGCCTTGTCGTGGCTAGTCATGTCTTCGATTAGAGTCGGGGGTGTCTCAACAATGTCGGCGTCCAGCCAGAGAACCCAGGAGGTGGCTGGTCCGAGAGTGGTGAAAAGCAAGCTGTTTCGTGCCCGGCTCATGGACTCTCGGCGAATCTTCTGGTTCTCAAGCTTATGACGCTCTTTTTCGTCCTGTGACTGGATCGGCGGAGGGAAGTCCTGTCGCAAAATTGTGATGCTGGCGAACCGGTCGTCAATGGGGCCGGACTGGACTTTGGTAATTGCAGACTGCAGAGCGGAGTAGGCTGCGTTTCCTTCTCTGGTCTTGGGGATGATAAATCCCAGGGAGATGTATTGGTGAGGGTAGGTGAACTTGTTAAGGTTCTCCCAGTACCCGGAGTAGAATCGCGATAGGGGAGTGAGAACGAGAATGCGTTCCCGGTTCTGTGCAGCGTCTCTGGACGAGGTAAGATTGTTCATGTTGTAGTGAACGACAGGCGGCGGCGCCCTCTTGTTCCCAGCGGCCTGCGACTTGTGGAAGGGCTTCGTGGGCGGAGAGAGCGGGTTCTGAGCAGCGTCGTCATGCCGTTCCTGAGAGGTAAAGGCCGCCGTCGAGGTAGGGGAGAAGATGAAGAAGAGGAATCCGATGGCTAGTAGACCGGCTAGCACGATAGTGATCGGATTCGTGCGGCGTAAGGAGCGTGAGAGGGCCATCGTGTGCGTTGTAGAGGTGTGCCGTGTGGGTGTCCTTTTGTATATATCTGGTCTCGGGCGGAAGGGGTTCGTCAGGGACGGAGACGACGCTCTCGATGGAGACTTCGGCCGTGGGCAGAGTGTGCAGAGTAATCGACTTCGTTATCCAGACATATATCTGATCCTCCGCAACATGTTTCACACAGTCAGAGAGCGGGAGGCTGCTGGCGGAAACAGGTGAGAGGAGTTAGCGGAAGGGCTCCAGGGCGTCGTCAACCCGTCCAGGGAGCGCAGGCGACCTTTGTGGCGAGCGAGTTAACGATGCAGGTGGCAGCCCCAACACACAGCCAGGCCAGCCGCACAGGAAGACGCAGAGCAGCAGCGAGAGAACGGCGAGCAAAGGGAAGAAATAAGAAGAGAATAAAATATTCCGAAGACGCAGCAGGACGAGCAAGGGACGGTGAAGTTCGCCTTCTGGTCAAGTTTTCGACTGCAAAAGCTGAAGTTGTTCTTCTGGCTCTGCGGCCGAAAGAGGAAAAGCGCCGGACTTTTTTTTTTTTTTTTAATTTTTTTTTTTTTCTTGAATTAAATTCTATTTTGATTTCTATTTATTTGTCTGTCCCGTTTTTATATTATTATTTTTACAGGCGAGGAGGAATCGGGGTGGAGGAGACGGCTTGCAGGCTTACGAGGGCGGACCAGCGATGGAGTCGTGCGTGTCAGGACGGCCAGCGGAAGGCAACAGACAGACGTCAAGCAGCAGCAGAAGCAGCTGACGAGTCGATACAGCGTGCGGGATCGGCTTGCTGGCTGGTGGATAGCCAAACACGAGTCACGCAGATCAAGGGGTGACAGTGACCCGAGTGTAGCCTGTCTGGCTCTGCAATTCGGACCGGGCATGCCTATATAATTTGGACGATGACTCTCTTGCTTTCCCTGCCTGGGGGAAGAGAGAGGCACAGCAGATGGTCATGGAAGGGCTCTCATGACTCCCTCGAAGGCGACCAAGGCCATCGCATTAGCCGGGAATGCTCGCAGAATACAAGGCAGGAAGCCGCGCCAGTATGCTCTCCACCCGCCCTCTCTACCCACGGCGACAGCGGCGTCTCTCCAGCGTCGAAATTTGCGCTCTCCGTCACCCAGCGAGCCGCCCAGCGGATCCGTCATGATACGCTGCTTGATGACGTCGGACGGGTAGGAGGTCACCCAGAACACTTGGGCAGCGAGTCCGCCGGCCCAGAAGTTGATGGCAGGCGCAGAAAGATCCGTGTACTGTGTGAAAGCGTGCGAGAAGATGTCATAGCTTCCCCAGAAGCAGAAGAAGAACGAGCGGAAGATTAAGGTCGAGCCGAGGCCGTGATAGAGCCCTGGCAGTCCATGGGCACGCAGCTGTCGTCGTTATTAGCCTACACCGGCCAGTCAGACGACAATGGGGGGAAGGGGCAGGAGCAGCTTACTATTTTGCGAGCACAGTCAATGGGGCCCTGGTAGAGCCGCTGCTTCTTGTCGGCGGCATACTGTATCTGCAGCCGGGCCTTGACATGCTCTACTGGCGCCGCGACGAAGCTGACCGTTGACCCGGCCAGGATGCCTGCAACTCCATGACCGAACGTTGACAGCTTGTCGGGCACCGTGGGACTGACGAACGGCAGCGCAGCTCGCAGCTCTCGGTTAGCAAAGACATGCTCAAGCAGCAGCCGTCGGTACAGCGTCAGCGAGCCCAGCATCCTAACAAACAAGCCGCCCAGCAGTCAAACAGTCAGCCATCCAGGTCCATATGTAGCCATAGAGTAAACCAGTACGGTATATCACAGGACATACACTGAGTCCATGACCATCCAGCCCATCAGCGGCGGCGTAGCCCCCTTGTACAGTGCTGTAACTCCTTCATTTCGCACCGTCTGCAGCAAGCAGTCCAACGGCCCGGTGAACCGCGAGCTCTTCGTCGTCTGCAGCCGGACCTTGATAGTGTCGAATCTTCAACCGTCAACCTCATCAACTCGTTTCATGTCCGGCGTCTTTCTATGGTCATACGTACGGATGGCCGACTGTGACGTCCGTCTGTTAGCTATGATGGCTGCTCTCTCTGGCACCGCGAGACCAGCTCGACTCACCTGTCAACTTCGCTATGCCTGAAAAGACCCCGGCCACAAAGCCCTTGTAGTCATGCTGGGCCTTTGGCTTCGTCTTGCCGGCTCCCAGATCCTGCTGCACGACTCCCGCTCCATTACTCATGCTGCTGCTGCTGCTGCTGGGTGATGGGCGATGGGTGATGGGTGATGGTGTTGCAAGCGACTGGAGGTCTCTGGCTGACGGGCCTGCGCCAGATCCCTTGATTAATACGCCGCCAGTAGTAGCTGCAGCTCGGATTTATAAAGGATAACCAGCAGAGAAACTTTGACATGTGTCTGGGGCCGTGGATAGCTATTTTATTCTTTTCTTTTCTTTTCTGTTCCTCTTTCCAGCTGAAGAGTTATTCGGTTAGTTAACTAGCGATGATTAAATAACTGCGATATCGGTGTCTGATCCCGAGCTAAGCGACGGACATGAAAAGGAAATTCCCTGCAGTATGTGATACTATTTTGAGTATATTATAGCCATTCTACTGTTATGTACTGGTTACAAGGCTAAAGATACAAGGGAGAGGTGGCGGTAGTAGTAATAGTAGTAGTGTAGTTGGCTGTGATCGATATTCTTTCTCGTCTCTCCTAGGGCTATCATATCAGGGAAAACAAGTCTAGAAAATTGTATCATCGGTGTAAATTAGAAGAGAAAAAGTTGGAGGGAAAAAAAAGGAGATAAACCTGAAACGACATATGGGCTGCCAAAGACAGATGTAGCGAGGGGGTATAAAACATCCAGTCTTCAAGGAGAACGCTAATTAATATCACAAAATGTAGTCAGAAATAATAATAATAATAATAATAAATAGTAATAGAAAGGTCCAACGAGAAGTGCAGCAGGGGTGGTAAGGCACCAACGATCGGGGGTGGTTATATTGGTTGTGTCGTGCCGTCGAGTGGACGAAATGAAGAGCGGGTATAGAGCAAAAGGTTTGGACCACACATAGACCAGCCATGTAGATAAAAAGGGAGTCAGTCAGATCCTTCGTTAGTTTCGTTGATTTCTTATTTTCCTTTTCCTCCCCAGTCCCTGGTTTACTTTTTATACCTCAGTTCGTGGCTTATTGGGTATCTTCCAAATATATATATATATAAACCAAGGAGTCGTTGAATCATTGAGGCATCCGAGTCTGACTCCCTTCCTTCTAAAACGAAAGCAAAAAATAACTCCTGAATCAGAAAACGTCGTGGGTCATTGAAAAGGTAGGCCGTCTAGAATCATAGGCCGTAGTCAAGGCCCTGTGCTGGTCTATGGAACGATCGGTTCGTATGAAAGTGGTGGCATAAGGTCGTAAGGAAATCGAGTCATGAGAGAAGTCCGAAGTAAGTAGAAGGGAAAAAGAAGAAACAAGAGCCGGAATGAAAAACGTGGCATGGATTGATCAATTGATCCTCGAGGCGAGACGGTCCTGCTCTCGCATGATAAGCTGATCTAGCAGCTCAGTCCGTTCTCGAATGCCCGCGTGGCCCTGACCATCTGCCGCCAGGATATCCATCGCTCCAGCAGAGAGGTATCCTTCCCCTTCCTCCTCCAGGGCCAGGGGCGTCACCGGACCCGGACTCCCAAGCGGTTCCAGCCGCGGTTTCGACGGTTTAGAAAACGTCGAGGACTGAGCTGAGGCGCGACTTGAGAGGGCCATGCCGGCGACTAACTCGCGGTACTGCCGGAGAGCATCTCGGGAGGAGGAAGAGGCCGTCGAAGAAGATGCTGCGGGCGAAGATATCACTGCCGACGCCGAGGAGGGCCGGTATGTCTGGGGATGGTGCGGATAATGTGAGTACATGTGAGATGAGGTAGCAGTGCCGTCGAAGTCGAATGCAGCCGCGGAGGCCGTGGAGCTACCGGTGGTAGTCGACTGGTAGACGGCCGGATGGAAGCGAGGCAGGTTCTCAAGTCGAAACGAGGGTGTGCTCAGCGAAGCCGCATGGCGGGCGCGGGAGGACGAAGGGGAGGCAGAGGCAGACTCGGCCTGGACTTGGGCCATGGCCTGCGAGAGGAGCGAGGTGGGAGCGCGCAGGACGGCGGGAGAGCGGTCAGTCAGCATCCTGGCGGTCTGTTCTTTGCTGTCTGCCTCTGGGCGTGTGCGTAGTCTGTATTCTGTGTTCCGTGTGCTGTATGTATCTTGTATGCTGGCGTGTGTTGGGCGTCGTTTGTTTGCCGTCGTCTGCGGAGGAGGGGACGGCCAGCGGCTAAAGTAGTTGCGTCGAACTGCGATGACGGACGGGTAACTAGCGGGTCGGGGCCAACGCTATTTTTTAAGGGGCAGGCTAGCGGCAGCGACGGGACGGCTGACGTGGGTGGCTGACAAGCGAAAGGAAGAGACGACGAGGAGACGAAGACGAAGACGAGGATGAAGATGAAGATGGAGAAGAGACGGCGAGAAAGGCGAGGAGGCTGGCGTTGGTTATATCGTGAAGAAGCATCCCGGGCCGTCATGCATGGATGGAGATAGGCGCATGCAGGCGCTGGCCGGGGAGGCAGATACCTGCATACAGACAAGACAGCCAAACAGACACACACCTTCTGCTGCTGCTTCACTGCGTCGTTTCTTCTGCTGCGGCCATCGGTGGCTATCACGCTGGAGCAGAGGATGAGAGGCCTCCCGGAGCTGCTGCGTCTTGTCCGTTTGACCCGGGCGACGTTGGAGCCGTTGGCCTCATGAGCTGCGGTCATCGTGGTATATAATAATACCATCTTATACGGCTGATCAGTTGCTTGCTTCTTTCACGACTACTTCTCTTTGCTCTCAGACAACGACTTAGCTACAAGTTCATCCTGTTGAGGTTTGTCTGCCAGTCAAATTTATGAGTACTCGTCTGCTAGATTTGGTTACAGGCCGGTGGCAGCCAAAAAGGGACCGTTGTCTCGATTGATAACATGATCTCGCTTGATGAGTTAGACCTTCTCAAGCACGACATTGCACCTTTGGGGATGGAAGAAGACGCACTGTCACCAGTCATTACGATCCAGCCTGTTGTGCTCGTATTCCCATCTTGAGGCACCTTCATTTTTGGGGCCGGACAAGCTCCTCTTGACGAGAAATACGGGCAGACAGCTAGTTATTGCTGGCCGGACCAAGAAGCGAGTCAATGCGTGCTTCTGACGCCGGGAAGAAGAAGAAGAAGAAGAAGCAATATAGGCTCAGCTACCCGGAACGTGCTCGTTCTTCCATTTGTTCATGCTGATGCTGACTGATATGGGAAATGGTCTTCCGTCAGAGTCCATTTGATATCCCACCTTCATCTCTCACCACGAGACTTGGACGCAAAATAAAGTACTCCCAAGGAATTGCGAACGTTAAACTAGCTGATGGGATGCGATTCCGGAGTCCTTTGGATCCATCAGCCTCGGAGTTGACTACCCTCCGGTATATAAAAACATATGACTGGAACTTGAGTACGACCCCTGTGTTTGACCTGTGGTCTCCTTGAATGGTGGAACACCCACTCATCGACCATTTCTATCCAGGAGGACTTGCTCCTTATACTCTGGCGTTCCTTGTTTGAGCCCTTCTATCAAGCGAAACGGCATCAACCCAATTAAGCTGGCTTCTCAAGTTTCACCCACTCACAAATGTCATTGACGATCCCTGACCTCTGAACCGTCCTCTGCAGCCCACATCGGATGTATGATCCTTGCCTGCGCGGGGGTGTTATCGCGCCCGCCCCTCCTGATGCGTTGGCTCCATGCATGTATCCATGCATCAACTCTCTCCGTCCCTGGCTTCGTCTTTGTCCTTTTTTTTTTTTTTTTTTTATTCCCGCAGGTTCGTCCCATCAGTGGGTATCAGGGTTGGCGCGGTTGGATATGTTTTACCTGAACCGCTCATGTTCTGCGGACATTCTCCGTGGGCCATGGCATGCTGCGAACCTTTGGGATGAATAATAATGGCAGTTTAGACACTGCCTTCCGAGTCTGCAGGATGTGATACAGCTGGACATCGTGGATAACTGTAAAAGTTGATCCCCTCGACAGATTTGGTGAGATGCATTTGATTGCCATGTCCACCCGCATCGCCAGATTATCGTAGGTGGAGGACAGTGGACCGGTGTCGTAACCGTAGAGTACTTCATCTCTGATATCAGGCCATGGTGAGAATAGACCTCTGATCAGAGAATATACCTGAACATGGATGATTCGTTATCGTCAACGTCTCTTCAGCAGCGGAGCAGCCTCAGAGCAATCGTCTTGAGACCTAACTAGCTAGCTAGCTATAATCAAGTCACCCATGTTAACTGGCTTGTTAACAAGTTAACTAAGTATTTAGCTATAATAACTGGTGAACTATAGTCAACTACTTAACTAGGAAAAATGAATATCCAACAAGTCAAAATAAACATCGTCAATACACGGATTCCAAACCCTCCTTCATGCCCAACGTAGCTTCTACGTGAGAGCTGTCAAGAAATTCCTCGATCTAGGTGTAGGTGTGAACTGGAAGGCAAGCCCCAGAGGCCCAACCGCCCTGCAAAGTGCAGCTCTGGGAGGCCACATTGAGGTCGCGCGGCATCTACTGGGCATCAAGGGGGTCAAACTACGCTATGTAAATGACCTGGGCTCGGTGCTGGGCCATGCAATTCACGGCGGGAATGCCTCAATGGTGAAATTTTTTCCTGGGATATTCCCGTATTAACCCAAACGTCAAAAGCACCAAACGCCCTGCCCCGACTCACCAGGCAGCAGATACCGGTAATCCTGATATCATGAAGCTTCTTCTTGCTGATGAACGAGTGGACCCAAATCTCCGAGTTGGAATTCGACGCACCGCCTTACACATTGCGGTCAGAAAAGGACGTCATGCTGTTCAGAAACTGTTGGTCGAACACAGCGGCGTCGACCCCGATTTAAAAGCTGGTCCACTTGGTCGAACACCGCTACTCGAAGCCATGAAGGCTCCGGCTGAAACCCGTCCAACAGATAGCCTGAGGATAGCCTGAGGACACTGTTGGGTTTGGGGAAGGTCGACATTGACATGGGCGACAATAGGCTATGCCAAAGCCAGCTCGGCCGCTTATATTGAAATACTTCTTGAGTGGGGTGCAAACATTGAGAGTATTGACGGCTTCAGTTTCACGCCTCTTTGACAGCCGCTAGGGCGCCTGGCAACCTGTACGACAATGTAGAGTTGCTCCTTGATGCCGGTGCGGACGTACGTGCTGTAGACCGGGAAGGGAGGACAGCCCTGGCGCTAGCTGCTCAGTATAACAATTTAGAAACGGTCGATTTATTGCTCAGACATGGTGGGATAGACCCGAACATATGTGACTATGCGGGCCTTACACCATTGTTATCATTGTTATCAGCAACGTGCGAAGATCACTTTGGCGTTATATCAGCCCTGGTAAGCTGCGACAGGGTGGACATCAACCTCCAGGATGACTTTGGAAACACTGCATTACACTATGCAACGCACCGCACCTGCACACGCTCGGTCAAAATATTACTCGAAAGGGAGGAAGATGATGTACATATCAAAAATAACGTTGGTCTATCGCCTATAGCACTGGCGGCAACCCGTGGATGGGTCTCTCTCGTATCAATGTATACCCATCATACAGCGATGATAGTAGAAAATACCGCGCAGGAGCTACGCCGCTTATGGTAGCCATCAAAAATACCTCTATTGTTAAATGGCTACTTTCAATGAAAACCGTTGACGTCGATGCAGAAAATGACCCAGGTATGACACCATTGAAATGGGCAAGTGAAGCGAAGGATCAGTCCATAGTTGAGCTCCTCCTCGAGAAAATGGACATTGATACTCTCGCCGTTTGTTACACGCAGTGAGATTCGGTCACATCGAATCTGTGAAAATATTATTTGGCGAGAAAGGAGACCGACGTTAACTAGAGAGATCATACTGGGCACATACTGTCATCAAGAGCAACGCTTTTGAGCAAAGCCGTAGTTGTGGACATCTTGCTTGCCCAGGATGGAATCCAACTTTAACCCGAGAACCCACGACGGGGACACACCGTTGTCTCTCGCGGCACAACATGGTCGAGTTGAAATCGTGGAAATTGCACTTTCACAAGCTGGGGTTGAAGTTAAAGAAGGAGATAGCGAGAGATCAACACCGTTTGCACATGCTGCAACTATTTGTTGGGAAAGAAATCTTGGTTGTTTTTTCTGTTTTTGCAAATGGTAGAATAGATCTTAACTGAAGGGATGATGCTGAGAGAACATAGTTGGCATTTGCTAGCATAATTAGTAACGCTGAAGTTATAAAGTCCCTGATGTAATAGACTGGAATTGATCTTCATGCCAGAGACAGTGATAGGAAATCATCCTTTGACCATGCGGGGACGTCATGTTAGGGTATTGATAAAATTGAGCTAGTTCTGGCGGAAGCCATGGAGGTTGAAATTGATATTGAAAGACCTGAATCTCCAGTAGAATAAGGAGCCATTGGTTTATTGCCTACCGTCATTTATAAATGGATATGAAAAGTATAAATGCATCTCGTCTAGAAGGTACTTGTCAGCTCAGCATTGTTTTAAAGGTGCCAAAGGTAGGTCATATCCAAGACTGCCCTCGTCCGTTAAAAAAGATTTTGACACATTGAAATACAATACGTCTTCTAATAAAGAGGTATAAGCAAAAGCATCAAATATGTTTCGCTCAAAAAAACAGATAATCTATCGCCAGGAAAATATGAGATTCGTTTTCATTCTGCAGAGACTGCGGGAAAACAACGCTGTCTAAAAGGTATGAGTGGGTGAAGCAATGCCAACGTGTATTTAGGCAGAGACAGTTGATAGTTGCTAGGTAGCAAAAAGGTACCTGCATGGCCTAGATAGGCAACGTGTATCATCCTGAGGATGGGATTTGCTGCTTTTCAGCAGTAAATGGAAGTTCCGTTACAAAGCTCAAGTGTTTTCTAGACGGAGAGGAGGCCTGCGTCATACCAGAAATAATATATATAGGCTCATATTTCTCTCCTCCTATCCACTTTCCAGATATCAGGCTCTGAAGCTTTCAAACCACAAAAAAAAAAAAAAAAAAAAACGTGAAGTTCATGTTTCGATTCCTTTTTGGCATTGGTGCCATAATGGCATTCCTCCTTGCGAGAGCCATCCGTTTTTATCGCTGCAATAACAGCTCAAAAAATAAAGCATCAAAGTCAACTGTACATTTTTCTGACGCGAAAGACTGTCGAGCAGTCATTGTCGGGAGGAGTCCGTTCAATGGCATGTCGAAAAACACCCTAACCGCTTTTCAGGCAAGAGCTGGCCCAAACCAAGCTCTTCGACGGGCATTCGGGATAGATAATGCCTTCACCAGCGAGGATAACGCTGTCATAAGAGAGTTCGTAGCTCTTGCTACAAAGCGGATGATTCTCCACGGCACGGACTGGGGGAAAGTAGCCACTCTTGCAGCTACTACCCTTGAAACCTTAGGATATTTCGAGCAGATTGCAGGCAATAGTACTTCCACAGGCACAGTTCCCATCACAAGTGTGGCACAAGTGTTGTGCCTCACAGTTGTTCTACGCACAATCCTTCAAACAGATGTTGACAAAACGCAGTATAAAGACGTGCTCAAGCTGGCGGAGGATATCAATAGAATTTGGATATCATCCAAGAGTCCAGATGAAGAGAAACGATCAAGCTATCAAAGCGAGACACCATTTCATGATACCCTCAAGGCTATATTTCCAAATACCCAAATTAGTAGCCCAGCTTCAAACCCATTGAATCTTATTCTACCATCTTTCGAGACGATGTGGAGAATAGTTCTGCGAACTTTTCTAGAAATCAACTTCCTCACTGGCAATCGCTCACCGGAGTTCAAACAGGTGCTCGTAGAGTTCTTCCACAACCCAACCAAAGAACAGTTCAACCAGGAACTCAGCCCAGGAGTTTCGGCAAGCAATGTCATCTCTGAAGCTCTTAGGCTCTTCCCACCAACCCGCCGCGTTCACCGTCATTTTCAAGGCCTTAGCAGCAACGAACGAACCCTTTTTGCTGCAGATATAGAAGCATGCCATCGCAACCTTAGGGTTTGGGGTTCAGATGCATTAAAATTTGTTCCTGGTAGGTGGAATTGTCTCAATGAGCAACAAAAGTCTAGTTTCATGCCGTTCGGAAGCAAGCCGTTCTTATGTCCTGCGAAGCCAGTTTTTGGGCCAAGAATGATTGCTCTTCTGGTTGGGGCTCTCCTTTGCCATTATACCGAAAACTGGGAGCTGAGTAGTGTTTCTGGAAAGTATGGTATAAATATGGTAGCTGAAGGGGAATATCTGGACCGGGATGCTTGTGCGCAATTGTACCTCGTTAGGGATATTCGGGTTTGAGGTTCAGGCTTACGCACGAATGCCATGAAGTTTTCATTTATTGTAGTCAGAGTACTTTATTTTTGATATGCCTTCAGTATGTGTGTGACCTTTGCAATCAATAATTGGATGCACATTTTCTTTTGCCCTGCCAGGCCGAAACATGGCCGGCGCTTGTCCATCAGTCCACTCGAGATGCTCCTAGGCTTTTGTCCACGAAAACGGATCCCACCAAGTGGCAAGTTAACCGCCGGGTTATTCTCGGATCCCTTGTGCCAGTAAGTGAGCAACCCATGCCCCTTGTGTGCTTCAGATTTCAATCCGGGCTGTCATGGATGGTCTTGCTGCGAATTTGCATGTCAAACACTCCTCACTTAGCATATCTGACAGCGCCCATCTTTTTTCCATGCTCTCACTCCATAACCCTGCATATTCATGCACAGGCATATTCCTAAACAGCAGCATGCAACTTTGTGTAATATAATCATCCAAGAAGTCCCGCTATATGCGTAAATAGTGTTACAAAAGAGAAGTTGGGATCCATGGGCCTGGTCGAGTTCGGACGAGTTCACAGCGTGGTTGGGTCACGTGCCGCTCAAGCCGCTTTTCGTGGCTTGGCCGGACAATTTTTTTCTTTTCTTTTCTTTTTTCTTTTGGCTTTTCACAGGAGGGTTCAGACAGCAAAAAAAATTTGATATGGATATCTTTAAAGGGAGGCCTGAAGTGCTCCGTAATTGAAGAGCTTTGCTGGGCGCATACAATAATAGCTGCAGCTGTTGTGGCTCACAAGCAGTGTATGCATACTTGAATGAGACGAACCTGTGGACACATCACGGGAAAGCTCCAAGTCACCAGAGGTATATCTCCTAAAGAGCCCTGACCTCCGAATCCGCTTTTGCTCCGAATATCTTCTATTCGGACCTTAATTTTGTTGGAGGGCTGTTTGTATAAATTCGTCTTTCCCTGGTCCTCAGGAAGTTCCACACCCTCGGATTTCTCTTTACCCCGGAAGATTGCTACTCTGGGGAGCATATACCAGTATATATTCTTCAGGGCAGCTCCTCCACTGCTAGAGATCAAGGCATAATGACAGCGGGCACAAGACCGTTACGCGTTGTCATTATAGATCATTATGACTCTTACACAAATAACATCGTACAACTCTTACAAAATACTTGGAGCGTGGCTGTCATACGTTTTGATGAATTCACTTGGTTGGTCTATCATCACCTCGTTACATGAATCTATACTTTCTGACAAAGCATATATTAGGGATACGTTTAAGGCCTCAGTACTTCCTCATCTGGATGCTATAATTCTCTCCCCTGGTCCTGGAAGCCCTGACAAGGAATCAGATTTCGGCTTTAACTCAAGACTAATCAAGGAAGCTAACATACCAATCCTGGGGATATGTCTGGGTCACCAAGGGATTGGTACAGCTTTTGGAGCAAAAATTATACATGCGCCAAACATCAAACATGGTCAAGTGTGCAAAATTCACCATAACAAAACTGGAATCTTTGAAGGCCTTCCGGAACAGTTTGAGGGTGTAAGATATAATAGTCTTGTACTTCCGTTCAACGGTTCGAAATATCCTGGTTAAATTGTCACTCCTGGAAAGTGTTACTGATTTCGATTTATAGGCTTACCCAAGGAGCTAGAATTAACAGCCTGGACTTTCGACGAAGGTGTACCAGTGGTAATGGGCATTAAGCATTGCAGTCGCCCTATCTACGGAACTCAATGGCACCCCGAAAGCGTGTGCTCTAAATATGGCCAGCACATAATGGATAATTTCCGGGACAAGGTCCTCCAATTCTGGGCTAGTCAGCCTTCGGATATTAGCAATACTCACCAAATTTCAAGTATTGGATTACTACCGGATTCTATTCTGAGCAAAAGCGCCATTGTTAAGGAGGCCCAAGGTAATTTCAATCCCCAGAATGAAAGGCCGTGGTCAATAGCAACAGATGATGTACGTCCGTATTATATACAAGGTACACGCCTTGGAAAAGGTGTTGCGCCACAAACCGTTTTTGATACCATAATTCGAAATTCTTCTTTGGATGGCGAAGCTTGGCTAGACAGTGCCAGGGTCAGTCACACCTATCCGATTAACCCTTTGTCAAACACGCCACATACTAACTTGTGTCTAGGTTCGTGATGCGCATTCAAGAAATTCGTACCTGGGCATTGGTGCATTTACGCTATGCTACTGGTCAGAAACTGGAAACCTCTCTGCTTCTCAACAAGGAAAGCAAGTCAAGTCAGAAGAGCTTACAACTTCCTATTGGTCATGGCTCGATCAGTTCCAGCGGACCATCATTGAGCAAAATGTTGAATCGGTACAGCCAGCTTTACTCGGAGAGGATACCCAAGCGGGCCAGCCACTGCTTCAGGTTGGACTGATTGGGTACTTCGGATATGAGATGAAACGTGAATCTCTACCTGGTTACAGATATAGGAAGTCAACTGAGAAGGAAAACAAACATCCTGTTCCAGACAGCCAGCATCTCTTTACTAACGTTGTTCTGAGGCTGGATAATTTCACGGGCGAATGGATGGCATTCGGTCTGATTCGTCGTGGAGAAGAAGACCCAATCGGAAAATTTATCCGTGCCCATTCATCGATTGGTCTTAGCCAGCATGAATATGAGTGTATTCTTTCGAACACTCGTGAACTATTTGCCGCGGCGCCCTCACCACCATATACTCTCCCAACACCTTTACCCAGCTTCGAAGCCATTGACGATGAGAATTCATATAGCCAGAAGATCCATGCTGCTCAGCAGGCTATAAAGGAAGGTGAAACATACGAAGTCACATTAACTACACGATTCAGAGCACACTGTCCAGGTGTGGATCCCTATTCACTATACCTATCACTTCGAAGCCGCAACCCCGCCCCATACTCTGCATACATCCACTTCCCGGTTAGCGACACAACTATACTTTCCTCTTCTCCTGAACGGTTTATATCGGTTGACAGAGATGGCATTGCAGAAATGAAGCCAATCAAAGGCACTCTAGCAGTAAGTCCAGACCAAGTGGAGGATGAACGGAGAAAGATTCAACTTGCCACCGACGTTAAGGAATTGGCCGAAAACTTAATGGTATAAGATTCAGCCCCTGGCTCTATTAAATGTTTCATTATTACTCCCGTTCTAACTGACCCCCTGAGTAGATTGTTGATCTGATTCGCTCTGATCTGCATAATATTTCCCCCTCCAAGTCGATACAGGTTCCAAAGTTACTTCAAGTTGAAAGCTATGAGACTGTACATCAGGTGAGTTTTCCTGATTCATAAAACTCAGTCTTACTCTGTTTAATTCATTCCATAGCTTGTTACCACCATCCAATCTCAAATCGCCAAAAATGTTGGGGGTGTCAAAGTTGTGGAGCGTTGCTTCCCACCGGGCTCCATGACCGGCGCGCCAAAGCTTCGGTCAGTTAAGATAATCGATGAGCTTGAGGGAGAACCAGAACGTGGAATATATTCTGGCTCCTTAGGTTATATGTGTGCCAGTGGAACTGTTGACCAGTCAGTCGTAATACGCACTATAGTCAAAAATGGGGCTGACCTTGAGCTCGGCGCTGGGGGCGCCATCACCTGGTTAAGTGAACCCGATAAAGAATGGGACGAGGTTATGGTAAAAGCGAATGCGGTTGCTAAGGCGCTCCCTCAACAGAGCTAATTGATGCAGGCAAGCATTGAATCTTAATCAACTGCGCATCAGAGGGAGTATGCATATGACTAACTGACGTACCTCAGGCCATCTGTGGCTAGGCTAAATACTTGACAATTTAATTATTCCGATCAATTTCTCAGGATTATGGCGGGTTTTACTGAGGTTAAACACATGTGTTACGCATATACCCTGCTAGAAGCTATGATGAAGGAGTATCATTACTTTCCATTCAATAATGAATGTACATAATTAGACGTGTTCTGTATAACAGTCTTAATAACTGGAAGGCAGGCTCTTCCCAACGAAAAATGTAGACCAGATTGATAATGGTATCAAGAAAGGAAGGGAAAAAGGAAAAACACTAGTAGATATATATGAACTCGTTATTCTGCTTATCAGTCAAGTCCTGAAAAGCATTCTCTCCCAGTCGTCTCCGTGAAATTATTCCGGCTGTGTCAATTTCGCCAGTTCTTTCGTCCTGATTTTCAGAGCCCTGGGACTCCGCAAACTCCAGGCCATTATTTTCATCATCGAACTCTGCGTATTGCTCATTCATGGATACATCCTTGATGTTAGCCTTTTTCCCCTCTGCTGCTCGTGATCGCCGATGTAATTTGTTGAGGACAACTAAGTTCACAACTTGAGCTAGTATTACGACGGCGAGAGCAATGAATGATATCAGAACAGAGCGCAATCCATTTCTGTATCGAGGTGAATCTTCCTTGACGAACAATAATGGCCCAATGATATTGCCAGTTGACGATCCAGCGTTGTATAGTGAGGTGATTATCGACTGTTTGGTAGTACCCGCGGTGTTTCCAACAATCCAGGTAACAATGAGTGGATTTCCGCCAAAGATACAAGCAAGCAGATAGTACGCCAATACTAACACACTATGAGAACTTTCTGGTGGGAGAGAGTATAGTATCGAGAGCCCTGTAATAACCGGAAGTATCAGGAGTATCAAAACCGCAGATTTTCTCCGGTGTTTTTGGGCAAAATACGACGCCAGCATAATAACAATAACTTGAACTGCTCCAAACGGCATGTTGAGGAGCGATGTGATATATTTGTCGTACCCAAAGCCGTTGAGGATGAGTGGCCCAAACGTGTTTGTGACGGCCGCGCCGATGTTGAGAAGCAAGCTCATTGCAATCCACAAGTATGTTTTCAGTTCAAAAAGCGCTTCAAAGACGTGTGACCACCTGAACTCTGTTGCCCTAGTCCCTGTCTGATTGGCACGGAGGCGCTCGATGGCTTGTTCGCGCTCATGTTCCGTGAGAAAACGAGCTGAAGGGATATCATTATCCAGTTTCCAATAAACGAATGGGGCTGAGATAATCGTGACCAGTCCGACAAAGATAAATATTCTGAGAATATGTCAGTAGGGAAGCGTGTTATGATAAGAGTAAATACGCACATTCTCCATGACTGCATTGTTTTAGTTGGTATGTGACCCAAACCGTAGGATAACGCGGAGGCAACAATGGTAGCAATACCATTTGTACCATACCAAGCTGCGACTCGGATGGGCTGCTCGGCTCTGCGATACCATTGACTGGTGATGACACTGAAAAGTGGGAGACATCCAGCTTCGAAAAGGCCTAAAAAGAATCTAGTGGCAAGCAAACCACCAAAATTATTACAGACGCCCATCGCAGCTTGTGCCAATCCCCAGCCGAGAACCAACGTTGGCATTAGGACCCGATGCGGCACTTTGACAATTAAAATCATTGAAAAGGGTTGCCATGCCAGTTGGGCTATGGGGCCAATTGAACCAATTAGTGAATACTGGTTTCCGGAGAGATGTGTATCTTCAATAAGGCCAAAGATTGCTCCATAGCCTAGAACAGTTTTATCAAGAATCTGGTCAGGACGTTCGGCGTCGGATAAGCATAGTATTCCAATGATGATACTGAAGCCTGTCAAGGGGTATTGCTAAGCAGGCATTTCATACCTGCAAGAAGTAAACCCAGACAAGAATAGCAAGGATGACTTTATCTGTTTTCCTCCGTATTTTCCTATTCTATAGTCAGGATAATATTAGTCTGGGTGACTCGTACACTAATAGGACTGAAAGATGTGCTGTATACAAATGGGGAGCCTGGCTATTGGGCAGAATGTGTACCTCTTCTTCAGTAAGTTGGACGCGCCTATTGCCAATAATGGCCAGGGCAGAATCTCCTTGACCCATCTCGTCTGCCTGAGGGATCAGTGGCTGTCTGAGAGGATCATTTTTGTCCATCGCGATTCCGTCTTTGAGGAGGTGACCAGCAGCCCTTAACTGTTGTTGCCCGGCAAGTTAGTTCACCAGTAGTACACAGATCGGGCGTTGCTATCAAAGAGCAGATGTAGATTTTAAAGCCGACCTGCAGATAATCATATCAAGTGTTCATCATATTTCAATAAACCCATGATAAATAAGAGACATATTAGTTTTGTTCAAGAATAACAAATTGCATTTAATGAAAGCAACAAGATGTAAATGCTGTGGTTGTTTTGACAATCGTCGTCTTGGATAACTACCTCCCGTCAGCGCGTAGTCACGTGGAAACTAGTGGAGTTAGCTCCCCTTAAGATATCCACATGAGCCATTATTGCAACACCCAGAAGGCATCAAGATGGGACGGTCAACTGGAACCTTTCCGGGCTAGTGGAGCCGTGCAGAGACTTTCGGAAATTGTTTTCCAGAGTAGCACTCGTGGCTATAAAACGATCGATATGATATATGAATGCTATCATGGTAGGTTGAATGGCATTCGATGAAAGAACTTCCAATTCTAGGTGGTTGATTTCTCCCTATTAAACGATTTGCTTACTAAGCAGTGGTACGATCGAAGAGGGTATTTATACCTAATTGGTTGTCATTGGGTTATAAATAAGGTTACACGTCCGCTGCTTCCGAAAGTTTATTTTTACCTAAGGTACCTACCTAACAAGACTTACAAGACGTCGACGTCGACGGGCTTTTGGTTGTAGTTATTGTGCAAGGAAAAATGAGAGAAAAGGGATATAAAATAGGAGGAGAATAATAGCAAAAAATGCAATAATGTAGTCTTATTCCACAACAACACTTATTCTTCTAAGAATGTTACCATGCACTTCTTAGTATTCGCTTCTTCCTTTTAGCCGCCCAGGCTCGACTCTGGTGCCTCGTCTATTGTTTTTTGTGGGCTGCACCTAAGGATTGGATCCCACGGATGAACCTAAAACTAACAATAGCAAGGCTGCCGGTTAGACGGCTCGGGGGTGGTGTCCGCGTTGATATATGTAACAGTTTTCTTTAGCCAAGGCTGAACGGTGGAACATCACTCGCTGACCGCACAAAGAAGGGGGAGAGGGAATTAAGCGCCATGCAAGGACCCCAGGGTTCCGGATTTAAATACGCTTGGACCATTCATTCCACACGGCAATGGCCCCCGATGTCCTTGGCGGATCCGAAACTCTCACAGAACGCCAATGGGGTTCTCTTTTTTTTAAGCGCTAATGGATACCCTGATAAACTCATCCTACCACGAAACACCAACTCCGATGCTTGTATAGTTAGCCTATACCCAGCTCAAATTAATTAGGTTGCATTGATATTGAGGTTCATCTTCGAATCCTTGCGCCAAAACCATGAGTTAAACATCCTTTGTATATGCTTCATCACTCAAGCTAATGGTTACCACAGCGCAGCGAACAGTGAGCATGGATGACATTTGCTCCAAGGTTTTTAAGTATTTTTAGAATCTCTACCTCCAAACGGTTCCATAACTAACTTGTTATCTCCATAAGCGCCAGACAAAGGGCTAAATTTGGAGTTCCCCTCTTGAACACAGGGGGATGTTTTATCTTCCAAGTTCATGCAATGGCACATTTTGCTGCCGGTTACTCCGCCCTTGACGCATGAGATTTTTTGATCCCTAGGAACTCGATTCAAAAATTGCTATAAGTCAAGTTGCCTCCCAATACTAATTTCATTACTCAAATATTCAACTCCAACTTCTGGTATGTCAATGTCCGCTCTAGGTCCCCCAACCACACTCTACATCCTTATACCCCCTCCCTGATCGTAATACACTTGGGTTATACCTACCACCTGATTGAATAACGCTTTTTCGAAATATCGATTCTCATTTATCTGTTTAGAACTCGCGCCCAATGCTGGATTCTGGACCTGCGCTTACCCCCTCCATGGAGGCTGAGACTGACACCCAAGCAGCACCACCGCCGAGGTTAAAAAGCACCCAAGTGCAGGACCAGCACATATTTAAAACTAATCTTGAGCTCGAACGTCAACTACGCGGTAGAGACAAATCCAGAAATAGCTACCTTGAATTGCAAAGGTATATCCAATCGGCAGTTCTACCCAACAGAAACCGCCACTACATTGACAAAGACTGTGTCCGGCTTAGCTCTAATCCTGCTGAAAAAGAAAATTGCACCCCCGGCACCCATAAGGGGCTTTCAAACAGCAGCGCTGATGAGAAGGATTCTAGCCAGACAAGTGTGAATGAGCACTACGTTGAGCCCGAAAAACGGGCAGTGTGGCTTCCAAAACAAATGAAGTTGCCCTTTGAGTTTTTCCCTGATGATATTTCCATCGACGGCAATAATGACGATATCGAAGAATCTGAACGGCCAAATCTACACCATCCTCGATTCAAAAGTCCATTTAGTCAAACGCGGCATTATCCCACTGGGGGCCCCCCTCCAAGACGCACCTCCTTGCGAACTGTGATCCTTAGCCCAGCTCTCTCTCCTAGGCAAACCGCGGAAGATATTAGCTCGTGGAGCGAGAATGAAGAAGACGGGGAAGAGGAGGAAGAAGAAGTTGAAGATGAGGAGGAGGATTACTCTTGTTCGGACCAAATTCGGCAAATGGAACGCCGTGCTCAAGATATGGAAGGGAAATACCCAGCTCTGGCCGGTCCTAGAATTCCAACACTACAAAGATCCGACGCTTTTTGGAAAATAACGCCTCCCGAAGGACATAATCTGTTCCGAAGTCTCATCAATGGCTTCATATCCCTACCTAATGCCCTTATGAGCGTGGAGGAAGACATAATCCAAACGCTGCAATATCCCGTCAAAAAGGAAGATCTATATTTCGAGCTAGGGCAACGAGAATCGGAAATACAAGCCATTGTAGCCTCCCATTGTGGACTGCCGAGTCCCGATCGTGTGTTCGTCTCCAATCCTACCACAGGAGAGACTTGGCATCACGGCCGTTTCAATCTTTGTATCCCTGTGTATGTTGCTAATCCAGGGAGTGAAGAACCAGCACCACTAGCATTTAAGCTCCCATTACCGTATATGGTTGGCGAGGAAGAATTTCCTGGAAACGCAGAAGAGAAGTTACGAACAGAGGCAGCAACTCATATTTGGGTCAGTGAAAATTGCCCAGATATTCCGCTCCCAAAACTCTACGGGTTTGGGCTTCCAGGAGGACTCAGTGTACGTATCGAGTATATCCTGCACGATATTCCTGGTGTTGAATAACTCACTAACAAGCAGATTTCTTGATTCATAAAAGTACTTCAAGCCAGAGTGTGTTACAATATGGCAACGCATAAAGACTTATGCATACCGTATCTTCCACCGTCTCTTCCTTGGTAACTCAGATTTCAGTCAATATATTCCCCAGAATCGCACTGCGCTTCTGAACCATGGGTATATGTTAACTGAAAGGATCATGATCAATGATGAGTTAAGGCCGTTACCCGACAGACTTGGAATGCGCCATAACGACCTTCAGCTACATTACGAGAAGTTTCTTCAGAAATCGAAGACGCAAAATCTGTACCGCAGTTTTGCGAAGGCCATGATGTCACTCGCAAATATTCCACAGCAACGAATTGGCTCCTGGACTATTGACAATAATGGCCGACTATCGTTATCTAATCGCCCCCTATTTTCTCGTATTAGCCGGTTTGAGAATCTAGGAATTCCGAGTGGTATTCCGCGCGACACCACCTACAACAATACGGATAGCTTCTACAACGACTGTATTGGTATACATGACAACCGTATTGACTACCAAAAGAATATTTTACCCGACGAGGTAGCCGCTTTTGAGACTGTTTCTACCATAGTTTTCATGAGATCCATATTACCTCAAGTGATGGATAATACCCTCCGCCATGGTCCGTTCGTCATGCAACTAGGAAGCATGCCTGTTCAAAATATCCTGGTTGACGAAGAGTGGAATATCAAACAATTCATCGAGGTTCAATCTATATGCTCTTTACCTATAGAACTGATGTTACCACCTTCCTGGATAACTGGAAAGGATATCGACAAATTGCTGTCTACAGAAGATGACCGGCTCCAAATATGCTATAGGCAATTTGCCCATACACTCCGGCACGAAGAGGCCAAGCGACCTTTACTCCCAAACGGGAAACTTCACTCCGACACTCTTATTGACGGGCTGCATTCCTCAAAGTTCTGGCTTCTCCAGGCATTACAATCCTCGGGGAACCCACTACACACCTTTAAACGTGTAAAAGGCTATGGAGACAACTATGCGGGGAAGGGCAAGCCGCTTGCAGCAGCGGCATTCAGGCCTCAGATTTATGACTATCTGAAGTACAAGATCTCGTCATACGTCGACTACCGGAAAGACGTGCAGAAACTATTCAACGGTGAGTATGGGCGAGTGTATGACGAAGAAGAGCTTGATTATATCCGACGTCGGCCTATCGTACCCGAAAGAAGGTAGTGAAAACAGGTTATGGTTCGATACTCTTTTCCTTATCCTTTTAATTTACTTTGTCTCCTCAAAAAAAAAAAAAAAAAAAAGAAAGAAAAAAAAAAAAAAGAAAAGAAAAAAGAAAAAAAAAAATCTTGATTTGCTGTTTATGTTTATGAGAGATGATTATGATAGCAATTCCACTTTACACAATGATATTTCAATTCCGTCTTCTACCTAGTAGTTTAGGGATAGGTAGCCCGACTTGTCTAATCTTGACCCTGAAGTTCTACGTCTTTGCCCAGTGATTGACAAGATACATCACAGCACAATGCTTTGTGTCCACTCCAGCAAGAAAATCCACATCCTGCACGGTCATACCTGCAGATATTCTGACCCTTGCCACATCTACCGTGGCAGAATGGGGCATTTCCAAGCCAACGACATCCACTCGGCGGTTGGCAGCGTGTTATACAATTTGTATCTCTAGCTAGAACCAGTGTTAGCATTTTCGGTATATGATAAGGATAACTATGTTGATTGAGTCATACGAGATGCTGCAGCAAATACAAGGTTGATGAGAAGACTCGATGCTGCAGGGAACCGCATGCTTGGATGAAATAGGCTCAATTTGAGTGAGGGGGTATATATATAGGGATGGAACCGGAGTTGTTGCAACTCTGTAACTAGTGTATTGTTGGTCGTCTGAATATGTTGGACAGTTGTTGAAGATCAAGGAGCTCCAGGAGGCTGCAGCTCCGGCGGATATTTATATCGCCATCTTGCAAGCCAGGACGTATTGAATGGATGTGGCCTCGCAGTGGTAGTGTCACCTAGAGGACTCTCACAGGTTGCCGTGAAAACAAACAAACGGGTCCCTAGACCCGACCACTAGCATTGTTTGCTAAACCAGACCGTCCGTAATAATAACAACAGCAATAATAATAGAAAAAGCCAGTCTCTTGTATATCGACGGGTGAAGTCTGGCGAACGCTTACAAGGGTGCTGGCTCGGCAAAACAGTCAGTTAGCCGAGGAGACCGCATGAGTCCACAATTTCCCCATGTTTCTCGGCGCTTGGTGAGATCGGCTATTTACACTCCCAACCATCTGAAGAGCAGGCACAAAGATACCTGGACAGGCGAGTACTTGATTATAGCTCTTAGTGATACTTCCCGGACTCCATTATAAGATGTTCCCTCGAGTTCCATCCGCAGGAGTTTGGTGTCCGGCGGTGACTTTTTTCGACCCAGCAACCGATGAACTTGATCTACCAGCGCAAAAGGAGTATTATGCCTATCTTGCACGCTCTGGACTCACTGGGCTGGTCATTCTGGGTACAAATGCGGAGGCCTTCCTACTCACACGCGAAGAGCGGGCACAACTCATCAGCACGGCCCGAGCAGCTGTTGGCCCAGACTACCCTCTGATGGCTGGGGTTGGCGGCCACTCTACCCGCCAGGTGCTGCAGTACATCCAGGATGCGGTCACGGCAGGGGCAAACTACGTCCTTGTGCCCCCACCAGCATACTTCGGCAAGGCGACTACACCAGCAGTGATCAGGGCGTTCTTCAGGGAGGTCGCAGAGAGTTCCCCGCTGCCTGTGGTTATTTATAACTTCCCTGGGGTGTGCAACGGAGTTGACCTCGATTCGGAGATGATTACAGCAATCGCACAAGACAATTCCAATGTTGTTGGGGTGAAGCTTACCTGTGCTAGCGTTGGGAAAATCACCCGGTTGGCAACAGTGTTAGCTGCAGACAGGTTCTCCATATTCGGTGGACAGGCAGACTTCTTAATTGGGGGGCTGAGTGTGGGTTCGGCAGGATGCATTGCAGCGTTCGCGAACGTCTTTCCCAAGACTATATCGAAGGTGTACGAGCTGTATAAAGCTGGCAGGGTCGGAGAAGCATTGAAGCTGCATCAGAAGGCGGCGTTAGCCGAGTCCCCGTGCAAGTCTGGGATTGCCACGACCAAATATGCGGCAGCAGTCTTCAGTGCAAAGGCAGCTGGGATCGAAAATGCTAAAGGAAGGATGAGACCACGCCGGCCATACGAACCGCCGACCGACGCGGCAAAGGAGAATGTGAAGAAAGTGATGGCCGAGGTAGCGCTGATCGAGGAGAGTCTCTAGGCGGCTCTCTCTCTCTCTCTCTGGTCCTGTAACCGCCCACAGAGTAGAAGAACAGACACATCAAGCGGGAGGGGGAGGCGGGTGCACATGGGCCCCCCACTCCCTCCCCAACCGTCCAGCTGAAACGACATATCAGCGGTATGTCGATATGTCAGAGTATCAACACAGCACTTGAATAATACTATACTATATAAAACATATTGAAAATGACACACGGATCAGGGGACCGTCACGGCGGAAGGGAGGCCGGAACCTTCCGCGGCCCCGGAATCTTCCTTGTTCGCTGCCTTCTTATTAGACGCCCGGGCCAGGCGTCAGGGTGGTCACGTGGCAAATACGCGCCAAGGGTTCCCGAAGCGACTAGCGCGAGAGTCAAAATCATACGATTTCGGAGTCCAGCTCCACGTGGCCCAGAGCAGTTTAGCGCGCTTACATCATCCAGGCCTCCTCCCTTGCTGTCCTTGTCTTTTCTTTGATATCAAAAGGGGAGCCGAGCTCGACGTCAGCCCAAACTCCCAGCCAGGCAGCCAGCTTTTTGACGGCGACAAAGGCGGGAATCTGACAGCGTACGGGAGACGGGCAGTGGCCGTCCAGGGCTGCTGTACTTGTGCATGGCCCCGTGGAACCAGCATATCAAGAGTGAAACGCTAATTCTGTGACTCGAGGGTGTGTTCGTTGGCCCAGCCCTTGGCTTTGGCCACAGGCATTCTTTTATCTTACGGATACTTTTTATGCGCGCAAGTCTGGCAGGGCAACAACAATAATAATAATGAGCCCATCCCGGAAGATTAATACTGCGTCCCTTCGGCTATTTTCGAACAGTGCTTGCTGACCCCGTCCTGGGAAAGTCCAGGCGAGCTGCGGTCCGCTGGCCTAGGCCTACGCATCCCAATCCCAAATTACGTTTTGTGATATATCCGCTGGAGCTCCTTTCCGCTCAACCGTTGCAGTCATCTCCCTGGTTTCGGCGCCCTCCGGCTGCATTGTCTTATGGATAAACCAAGAGCTCTCCCGGTTCCATCCTAGCTCTCGCCGTCATGCTCTGCTGTCCATTTGTCTTTCCCACCCTTGACCGCCGTTATATCATTCTCTAGTCCGGTTAATTCGATTATCCATCACATCTCATCTACTAGAAACGCGGATTCTTACCTCCCAGGATACCAGCAGTTTTGATCAAGAAAAAGAAAAAGAAAAAGCCTCCTTTGTCACAATGGAGACAGACAAAGCACCCCGTCCTGATGAGACGGATTCTGCACCATTTGACCTCGACATCGTCGAAGAGAGTATAAACATAGCCGACTCGCACATAGATCTTACTCCCACACCGCCTGCAGACCAAAGCGAAGAACAACCAAAGGACAAGGCCGCCATGTTTTCGGCACAGGATGACCTTACTGCAGACTGGGCCCAGTGGATGCGCTGGGACGACATTGAAGACACAAAGCCTTCGATTTTCAATATACCGAACATACCTGGCTCATCTCTCCCGCAGTCTGCCTTCACCTTCACTTCAGGTGATGCCACACTGCCTGCTCATACGCTCGGCCCATCCAACGGCTGTCTCGGCCTCCCTGCCGTTAAGCAGCCTTCTGTCTCTACCATCTTCCAAGAGCAGCCAACTATTGAAACAATACAACCGGCACCACCATCCGATGCTTCCTCTCCTTTGGCGCCCTCCCCTACATCGTCAGTCGGACGCAAGAGGAAGTCGTCTCACGATGATTCTCCAGTCAATGAAGTACCTCCCCAAGCTGCTGCTACTGCTGCTGCTGATAAGTCAGCTCCCTCTAAGAAAAGATCACACAACATAATTGAAAAGAGATATCGTGCCAACCTCAACGACAAAATTGCGGAGCTACGAGACAGTGTCCCTAGCTTACGCTTGACCTATAAACAGCGTCATGGCGGAAACCTAAAGAAGTCGAACGAAGACGACGACATCGACCTCACCTCTGGAAACAAACTCAACAAGGCGTCAATCCTTTCCAAAGCTACAGAATATATCAAACACCTGGAACTCAGGAACAGCCGTCTCGAGGAGGAAAATCTTTCTTTGAAAAATCGATTTCGTGAACTTGAAAAGGCCCAGGGAATAAACCTGGTTTCGTACCCCGCCGTCACTGGGTCTGAGACTCCTTCGGGAGCTTGCACCGTATCTACAAGTTCCGTTGTTACATCTCCCGATATATTTTCTCACTCGAGTGATTTTTCCCCCGATTCACCACCAAACCCCTTATTTCCTCCCGAAGGACTACTAAGGCCCCCTGATGGATTCAACCAACTTCGCCCTACAGGGCCTCAACCGCATTATGCCGACACCTTTCAATACAACCATCCCCAAGAGTACGACTGCGCACCGATAGAAAACGCTAGTACTGCCACCGCTTCTAGTTCAGAAACGACCACTCGCAGTCGACGACAGTTCATGGGCCTCCCCAACAAATTTATGCTTGGCACTCTTGCCGGTATAATGGTCATGGGTGGCTTTGAGAGTCATAGATCTTCTGATCCAGAGGAAAAGAAAGAGCTTTTTGCGCTCCCACTCCAGATTCTCGGCAGCTTTTATCGCCTGGCCCTCCAGAAGTTCTATCTTATCAGGGCCAATTCCTGGCAGATTCGTGCCCTATCACAGTTCGCTCTGACCTCTCTTATACTGTTTGGTTGTGCATTTTTCATGTTTCTATACCTTTTCAACTCAAGGCCGAGAGTATCTCGAGTTCCTCTCAAACCATCCAGGACCCGAAACGTTTCAGCACAACAGCATGTTTCGACCGGTTGCTCTTTCACAGAATTTCGACAAGATGCGTGGCTTACGAGCATACAAACCGTTGGTGTTCCTCGTCATAATTTTTTTCCTGAATGGTTTGCCGTCACCTCCCGCTGTTTAGAATACTGTGTGAGGTGCCTTCTCGGATGGAAATTATATTCCTTTGTTACTGGTATCAGTGCAGATGATGAAAAAGGCCGAGTTAAAGCCTGGGATATTGCTCTTGATGCCCAACTTACGGGAGGAGATGCGGAAGTTAGCAAAAGCCGACTGGTTTTAACCATTTTTGCTGCCGGCACTCTTCCACGTAGCCCTGCTCGCATGATGCTTAAGGCATTCCATTGCAGGGTACTTTTATGGAGAATTAGCTCACCTGATTCCTTGGCGTTCCGGGTAGCTAATTACATTGCAAAGGTACTTGCAAATTACCAGTGGGAACTTGCCCAAAACATGCACCGAAGGGGGCCAAAAAGGGGCGAGGACCCATTACCAAGCCACCTTGCCTTCCTCTTATCGATGGATTGTGATGAAGTTTTCACAGACACTATCGTCCAGCGTGCCAGTAATATGGTTTGGAATCGACCAACACAGGAGGCAACGGACGGTGAAGATGCATTGCTAGACGTTGTCGTCGAAGATAGTGCCGTTCGTTCTCCACTCGATGTGCTTGCGGCATGGTGGTCGAGCCGTGCATTGCAAGAGGCCTTGCTCAAATCCTTAGACTTAGTGTCGGTCGAGTCGCCCATCGAGAAACGTAAATCCTTCGAAAGAAGCCTGGATATAGCATTACATTCTGCACCAATCCCATCCACAGCGTATACCAGAGCAACCGTTGTGAAGGCCCTGTTTTTTGAAGAAGACAGGATCAACAATGTCAATACAGTCCTCGCAACTCTGCCGGCTAAAAACTCAGAGAATTCTCGCTCCACTTGTGGTTTGACAAATTTTCTTGATTCCTCAATCCCGCCATCCGCACGAGATGAGATTTTTATTGGTGTGCGCTGTGCAATGATAGCTGCGATATTACGAGGCCAAGTAGGTAGGGGCGAAGACGAACCAGCATCTTCTCCCTTCTCTCTTTCGAGTGCTATCAAGCAGTTTAATGCCGCCTCTGTCGATGAAGTTGAGCTCACTCTTCTTGGGTTCGCTTCTCATTATTATCTCCTCCACATCACTGCCACCGACGAAAGGCTACTACCTTGCTCTTCTCTTGCATCATCGATGCATTCGTCAGTAGTGCAACTAACGGATGGCTCAGAAACTACGACAAGCTACCAGGATGAGCATGATATCCCCATCCCTGATCTTTCTCGAATTGCCGCGGATTTGATATTCTGGGTACGAAATGCATATAACCCAATCTCCTCAGGCCTTAATGCCAAACTTATGGAGAAGGTTGTGATAGACTGCGTTGAGGTATGTCGTAACGCAGGCGTCGACATAGATATCAGAAAAATCCAGCGTATGAAGACTCATCAGCGGACATCAAGCGTTGGTCCCATGCAAATTCCCGCTCGCTCTCCAGACTCCGAGGGTGTACCGAGTGGAGTAACCCCTGTTGGAGCCCAGGGCAGAAGACCGAGCACCTTCAGCGACGATACCGGGTATGGCAGCATTGACTCTGAAGAGAACAGAGCCATATCAACTGTCTAGAGCTTCTAATGCACATAATACCCAACATTTAAATCCATTTCCTTCGAGATCAGACTCGCCTTTCAGCTACATATTTACTGCCCATAAATTTTCACCCGCTTTTACATATAAGTAAATATATCATTGCGATGGTGTTCGGTCAGTTGATAGTTTTCCTTTACTGTTCCTTCCCCCTTTTTGTCACCAAGTATAACGATAATTTACCGCGCCTCCTTGATGCAGTTTATCCGCTGCTAAACCTCGTCATTGACCAAGCTTCTCTACTCGCCCCTTGCCTACTAGTCCGACATGAGTTCACGGGACATAAGATCTGTATCTATTACATAGAAATTCATATCTCCATTCTCCCCCTTTCTTGCTGCGATTGATCATTTTCTTTTCTGCATGAGTTACCGTTATTGGTACCATATGTTTTGGTTGGTGGGCTTCATCTTGCTAGGAGGATGGACTCTCTGGCGCTTTGACTTGATAAGGGAGAGAAAAAAAGGCGTTTGATAGTTATGGAGATCCGTTTGCATGTGAATTGGCTAGGTTTACGGAGCACTACCTTGTATCTAATTTATTTTCTTATTAAAATTTTTAGTTATTTGTGGAGCTAATCTTATAGAGCGCAAAGCAGGCTGTTTAGAGGATTAATACAAGGGAGTTCGATATAATGTGCGCCTAGACATTTCATTTCTAGCTTCGGGTAAATAATGACATTGAAAAAAATACTATGATATGTTGAATATATAAATTGTAACAAAACATGGTCAAATAAGGCCATCTCGGACCAAATCAGCAAGACCGTTCAGACAGAGAAAAGAGCGCGGTAAAAAGTCATTTAAAAAAACAAAAGCAAAAAGCAAGCCTAGTTGATAAGGCATAAACTAGTAGTATGAGACGTCAAAAACGCATAATCTGGTGGGAAAAATAAAAACTCAGCCTTCTGTGTTCCATCGGCCCGAGAAACTATTCTTTCTTCTCCAGTGTTTCTTCTCGGGAGGTGATAGCACTATCGGCCAGAAGGCTATCAGACATGAACAGCCCAGCTCTCATTTCTGCATCTTGCATAGTAATTAGCGATGTACCAGCACTTCCGATCTTCAGAGCCCGCTTTACTGCCTTCCAGCTCTCAATACAAGCAATGTAGACGACCACACAGCCAGCTACAATGCCCCATTCCCATGATATGGCGACGTGTTTGAAGACTAGCTTGTTAACAAGCGGAATATAGATGACTGGGAAGGAAGTCACAAATCCAGCTGCGACAGCCCAGAAGAGGAATCTGTTTCGCCAGAGAGTTGGGAAGACAGAGAAGACTCCCGGATAGCGGGCTGGGTCAAGGTTAAATAATGAGCGGGAGAAGTGCTTCACCTCCCAGGCTGTCACCAGTAGAAGGAAAGACAATGTTGCAAAGGTGGTGGCACGCGCACGGAAAACAATGTCGCAAGTTGGGTTCCAGTCTTCATTGCAGTCCTGACCTAACGAGCCACCTCCAACACCGTAAACAACGGAGACGAAGGAGACAAGACAGAGACTTCCCATAAAAGTACCGTATATCATTTTGTCAACAATGAGTTCTTTTGTGAAAACACCGACACGCAGGTTGTGTGGCGGTCGGTACATGATATCTGCCTGGCCTTCCTCTAGGCCGAGCCCAAGGGCTAGGAAAGAGGATGTGATCAGGTTTGCCCAAAGGATCTCCAGGGGTGAAAGCGGGAACACAGAGTCTCCTTCATCATCTTTGAATGCAAGTGCAATCAACAAAAGAATGACTTGGGCAATATTAGATATCAACAAGTGCATCAAGAACTATGTGTTCAATGTTAGTACATATACACTTATGGCAATTAGAGAGTGAAACGGCTCATACCTTTTGAATATTGTCAAAGAGGCGTCGCCCTTCCTCGACGGCTTTGACAACTGATGCAAAATCATCATCCGTTAAAACCATGTCTGCAGCAGCTTTGGCTACATCACTTCCATTCTTGCCCATGGCAATTCCAACGTCAGCACGCTTTAAAGCTGGCGAATCGTTCACACCGTCACCAGTCATGACACAATAAGCACCGCGTCGATGCATGGCTTCTACCATACGGACCTTTGTTGATGGACTGCATCGGGCAATAACGAGTGGGAGAGCTTCAACAGCATCGATTTCGTCATCCGTCATTTTGTCAAATTCGTCGGCACCCATAACAACTTTGCTGGCTCGGACGTTTGGAGTCAAGTTCCCAAGGATTCCGACTTCATAAGCAATCGCGGTTGCAGTCTTGATGTGATCTCCTGTTAGCATGTGAACAGTGATACCGGCCATATGGCATTTGCGGACAGCTCCAGCTGTTTCCATGCGAGGGGCGTCGTAGAGGCCAACGAGTCCGACGAAGTCCAGGTCTTGCTCGAGTTCTGTTCGATCAGGGAGGTTGTTCAAGGTTTCAGGGGATAGAGTTTTGTGCGCAATGCAAAGGACGCGAAGACCTTCGCCTGCCATCCTGTCAACCTTTGCCCGAATTTCCTGCTTCATGTCATCGTCTATTGATAGAAGTGGAAGCATAGATTCCGTGGCACCCTTTGAATAGGCTGCTACATGTTCAGATCCAGCTCTCTTATATACCACAGTCATTCGTTTGATAGCAGAATCAAACGGGAATTCAGAAACGAGCTCCAAGCCATTATTTTCAATGACAGAACGTTTTCCAGAGTTAAATCTGATTGCAAGTACATGGAGAGCAATTTCAGTGGGCTCTCCAACCGCAACCCAGTCCCCTCCCTTTGAGTCATGGGAGCCTTCAGTCGATAGCTTGGTATCTGGGTTGTATACGGAAGACAGGTTGCAAAGAGAGATGGTATGCAGGAATGTTGTAAGTCCAGCGCTATTCTCAAGGTTGTTTGGCTGTATGTCCTTTCCACCTATTTGGACGAGACCACTGTTAGGATCAAATGGGCTGTTGGTGTCGTGGACAGCAAGTGTGCCGGTGCCAGGTATCCAGGCTTTGCGGGCGATCATCTTGCCCTGAGTGAGTGTACCAGTCTTATCGGAGCAGATGTTGGTCACTCCTCCTACAGCTTCGAGAGCCTGGAGTTTTCTGACAATGACATTACCCTTTGCCATCGATTTGGTACCAACAGCAACAGTAATGGTCAATACCGCAATCAGGGATTCTGGGATAACAGCAACCGCAACGCAAATGCCATAAATGAGGACCTCGCCTTGAATATGCCACTTGTTCGCGGAGAAGACAATGATAGCTAGTATTATGGCGAGGGCAAAGAGCAGGAGGGCGAATTTGCTGAGTTTCACTTGTAGGGGCGTACCAACCAAGCCTAGGACTTGATCGAAGCTTCTCTTGAATCGTTTCCAAACTCGGGTGTAGATTGAGGCATTCTCTGCCTGCAGAGTGTTGTCACGCAGAAGTTGGGCAATTTTCCCGACTTCAGTATCCATACCTATCGATATGACAATTCCAGTAGCTCGCCCTCTTGTCATGATACTTCCAGAGTAAGCCATGTTTGTGCGGTCTCCAACTGCCATATCTCTACTCGTAAAAAGGGCATCTGGGTGTTTAGAGATAGGCATGGATTCTCCGGTTAAGAGAGCCTCGTCAGTAGAAGCATTGATACCATCAAATAGCCTTAGATCGGCAGGTACCATGTCCCCCACAGCTAGCTGGACGATGTCACCCACAACCAAGGTTTCCGCTTTGATAGAATCAATTCTACCATCACGTACAACTTTGCAGGTGGGAACAGATAAGGCTTGCAGGGATAATATTGTCTTTTCCGCACGGTAGTCCTGGACGAATCTAGAGTAGAGATGTTAGCCGAGCGAAATGTCCAGAATGGAGAATGGAGATGCAAACTTACCCAACGACAATATTGAGAAGAATCACAGCTGTGATCACTCCACCTTCAATATAATCGTTGATCCCAAAGGATAGAGCCATCGTTATCAAGAGTACCTAAAATTTTAAGAATTAGCTATGATAAGTCGTTCAGAAGGCTAGAGGGTGGCAAACATACTAAAGTCAAACTATTTGACACCTGCCTTAGCAGAATTTTCCACATGGATATCCCCTCCGCACTCTTAATCTTGTTAGGTCCATCCCGCTCAAAGCGAGATGACGCTTCGGTACTACTAAGCCCATGTCTGGCGAGGGAGAGGAAATGTTAGCCAGTTGGAAGAGGAGATTTTTAGCCCAGGGCAAAAAGGGGAGGCTCAAAAAGAGTGTTTGAATTTTAATTCAACACAAGGTATGAAGTTTCCGTACTGTAGATCAACTCGTAAAATCCGAGCAGTATCTGCAATGGAGATAGTATGGGCATGCTGATTGTAGGCGTGCCAGTCCTGGTAGTTGGCAGGACAATGGTCTACCTGGACCTGAGGGTCTAAGGTAGAGCTGGGTTGGTGTTTATTGGATTCTTCATGGATAGAAGGACATATAGGAGGTTCCGTCGGTTCCTCGACATCCGGCTGAGAGATCTCCGTGCCCATTCAATAGAGAAGGGGGGTCTACAAGGACAGATACTGATGTTCTGTCCTCTCGAGCGGTTCTCTGGACACTGAAGAAAGCGATTGTGGCAGTCGAAACCGGGGCCGGAGGTCGATGAGCACAGCTATCTCTCCCTTTTGTTAGCTAGATATTCGTATCGGGACCGTTGTGGTGTCGTTATGCGCAGTTAGTTGTCTAAGAGAGAACAGGTGAGGTTGTAAATATAAGAAGAAACAAGGTGGAAGAGCCAAGCGGGCGGAAAGCGGGAGGTCGACTTTATATCAACGTCAAGGTCTAGGAGAGCCAGCACCACATTCACTAGTTACTCAACTATTATTAGTCTTACTTATATTACTTCATATCTCACACGTCTCCGCCTCCCCCATGCATGTCTCCATTCTTTTCTTTTGCTTTTTTAGTTTTCCGTTGGAAAAGAACGAAGCAACACACAATTATGACAGCTTACTCAGGCTACGCTAGACCCAATCTCCCTGTTTGCTCGGTGGCTATGCTTGCTGCGATTAGCCAACGCCGTTCAGGCTATCGACAGATACGGAATGGAAACAAGGTGGAAATCTGAGGATGCCGTCAGATTGGACAGAGATCCTGGTTCCAGTGGAGACGGTAGGGCGATCAAGCTGCGAGAAGCCAGAAAGCCAGAATCCCATCATCACGGTGATTTCCCTGCCCGCCGTCCCGGGCCCTCACAGGCTCAACAGCCTATGCGGGGCTTGCTGGTGGATCTGCCTTCGCATCCCACACGAAGAACGTGTTCTAGGACATCGTCATGCCTCGTTCCAGCAATGGGCGGAGGTGGAGGCCAGTGAGGCCGCTAACAACTTGGCGAAATGCCATGTCGGTTGGGAGAAGGGAATATTATAATGACTACGCCCGAGTCTGCCTCGGTAGTCACCTTGGCTCGGAGCTGTCTGGCTATGGAGGGGGAGGAAGGGAGGGGGGGGGATCGGAACCATGTCAGTGTCAGTTCCATGAGCACATCCGTACAGAGTACAATACAGAGATTCCTGGTTCCCGGGCAGCGTACATGGTACAGCGGGAGTGCGACTCAGGGGGTAATGGTTGTACGGCTTTACAGGTGTAGGGCTGGCTCCCGCATACGTTTGCCTTGTTTTGGGCGGAGAAGAACCCTGATGAGGTTTGGGTCGGCTCCATAGAGGGCCCATTCGACGTCTTTCCCTCTTGGGCTAGGGATAGCTGCGTTGGTCGCCCTGAAACCAGCAGGATACTGTGGGTGCAATATGCCGATATCTGGGGAGCGTTAGTTTGATGCACAACGCACAGCTCTCACGTGTAGGAGAGAGATTGGTGATGACGCCCTTCTCTGCTTCTTCTTCTTCTTCTTCTTTTTTTACGCTTCCGCGATTGCCAGGCAGTTAATATCTAATCATTGTCAAGCGTGGACAAGACGTCGGGACCTTGGCGAGGCGTCCATGCGAACAGGTGCATGCGAAGCCAAGTAGAGATTGGTGTCTTCAACTACATGCCGGTCCTTTAACGCTCCAAACGCGACAAAAAGCCACTCTGTATCACGATTGTTCCACACGGATGCATACACCACACTTGCCGATTGGTTTCACGGGGAGTGAGGGTCCGCTTCTCTATCTTCAAGATATCTCCATGTCCTGGTCAGGATTCAATAATCATAATTTCGATGCTCTTTATCACACTATATTCCCTCGTCGAAGATGCAGTCAGGACGGATACGTAATCCGCCCCTCTCCGACAGAGAATGATCGTCATCTCCTTCACCCCAGATTGCACGCCATGTACAACGTTGATTAGTTAAGAAATGCACTGAGGAAGTGAAGCTGTTTTCGGTAGAAGAGACGCGCCAGGGATCCTGCTGGAAGTGATGCTACATGTCTGATTCAAAGGATGATCAACAAGCTAAACATATGCCGAATAACTTACTCGACGTACCGTTCCATGGTATAGTTATCTATCAGTCAGCTCCTTTCTCGTTAACCTTCCAACGGAGACTGATCTTCTCGGCTATGAAAGATGGACAGGACCGACAGTACGTTTGATCAGCCGCGGAATTACATAAGCATCCAGGGAGAAAAGAAAGTCCAGAGGAAAAAAGAAAAATGGAGCCTGCTAAAAGACGACAACCATCACAAAATAACAAGCGAAACAGCAAGCAAGCGTCAACCTGCAGACTTGGGTCGTCTGACTGCGAAAAGAGACCCGTCTCGCGCTCCCCCTTGCGCTTGGGACGACATCTGTCTTGATGGCGACTCCGACGGCCTCTCTTACACCGCTCCGGTTCGCCAATGGATCAGCATCATATACCTCTCCAACTGGCGAAAAGATCCTAGCCTCAGTCAACGGACCTGGAGAGGTAAGTCGACGCGATGTGCAGAATCCGGAGGAAGCAACCCTTGAAGTGCTGGTCAAACCTGGCGTAGGTGTCAGCGGTCCGGGAGAGCGGTATGTTGAAGGCATCCTGCGTGGCCTATTGGGCCGAGTGATCCTCATGAGGGACAAAAATATGGCGCGCAAAGGGGTGGTCGTTACTCTTGTCGTGGTCGAGAATCGCATTGTAGATGGCAAAGTGGACGTCCGGGGCGGAAGCGTAAGTATTGTTCAATGCTTGATTTTTTTTTTTTTTTTTCGTTTGAGACAGTAGCAGGTGGTTTAATGTCTTGACGTCTAACGCTTCAATCCTTCTAGTACCTCTCGATACTTCCATCGCTGCTACATGCCGCGCTCCTCGGGTTGTTGTCTGCCGGAATACCGATGGCTATGACATATACATCGTGCCTAATCGCTATATCACCTTCGGGTGACTTACTCGCAAACCCATCAACGGAGCAGATAAAAACTAGCACCTCCTTGCATGTTTTAGCGTTTACTTCCAAGGGAAACCTCCTTCTAAATGAAAGCCAAGGCTGTTTCAATTTAAAGCAGTGGGACGATGTCCATGACCTCGCAGCAACTCTGTGTTATGCTAGTAGCTCTAGTCAGGGGGATGGAGACGTCGCAATGGATGGAAAGGCTGGCAATACTCTCAAGGATTTCATTCGAGGAACAGTTGAAGACAAGGTTAGAGAGGAATTCGCTTGGAAGCTCACAGCGGCTTGAGAGGTCAAGGAGATAGGGTTTGTACCAATATCATCAGCAACTCCGGCCGCGGATGTAATCATGCCGTTGCAGTGCTCCTATGATTGTTGCATTGCCGATTATCCTCGTGTGGAATCTTGCCGAAACGGTACCTCATCAACTGTTCGTGAGATATCCTTTATAGCTGCATAACACACAACTGCTTCCAGGGCTTAATGCATATTCCCTGCCTCCTCATGGGGGCAGGTGTTCGATAGCTCCATAGTGTGCTATGACCAGGGAGGGCTTAAACGCTCATCCTACTGGAATGCCCGTCTAAGATGTATCAATGGATTCAAAACATTCCTTAGATGGCCCCAATGGATCGATACTATAGCAAGGCAGTAACAATACGAGTGATTTTGTTGCCCTCTGATTTACTGTGTCGTACGGATAAGAGATTGGTTTTATTTACTACTAACGTGGTGTTTAAACAGCACCAACTCAACCCTACTTCACCCCAGGCCATACTAGCAATATACCTGCCTAAGCCAACATGTGCAGGTGAATAGGCCAAACTACTGCGTTCGATGTACCTCCAGAAACTCACAGCCAAAATCAGATTCGGCCACCGCCCGTTCAGCATATCGATTCGTGATCCACTTTGCATAGCCTGGAATAACTGTTTTGGCTCATATGTCTGACACTTATTCTTGTGCTCAATGATTTCTAGTCAGCAAGTCTGAGCGAAAATCAACTAGTACACTTGATACTCACTGCGCTGCTTAACGGCTTATCGCATTGCAAACCATGACTTGAAACACGTATAGGTTGGCAATTTGTACCGCCAGCCCAACAAGTGCAGTGAGCACAAGAACGCCAATGACGGAAAGTGTCGCCATGATTGGGCTCATGGTATGGATTTCTCCGAGCCGATCCATTCTCTCTACTGGCATATCGTTTATTTCGATTGAGTAGTCAGCGCTCCTGATTATATTTCCAGTAAAGCCAAGCAAATGCTCTTCTTCAGCGACAGGGAAGATCTCCAGGTCAATATCTATGTGGTGCTTTTCCATCCCAGGCATTGGTCTCAACCCCGAAAATAAAACTGGCAGCGCCGAATAGTGCTTTTGTGGGTGGTGTGTAATGCGAGGATTAAGGCCCTGGAAGAGCCGGATTATTTGAACAAAGGGGGCTATCCCATTTCTTTATCTTGAAAAGTGAGGATTTCTACCTTGAGCAACATCACGCAATTGTTACCCACAACAAATACTATGGGATATATTCGCTATATTGATGCAGCAAACGGGTAGTCCTCAGATTACTGTTAGTATTATTATCTCAATAAAGGATAACAAGCACGTTTTTTTTTTTTTTGGGTTTTTTCACTCTTATGAAACGGACAGGTCAACAATCGAACAGCAAAGCAACAAAATATGTAGTTGATCCTCCTCGGCATTATTCTTCAACAGGGAATAAGAAGCGGCTAAAGGACATTCATTATATGAAACACCACTGGCTTTCACCGACTATTACAATAGCTACGCCAACCGGTCGGGTTTGGTAAAAGAAGGATCTCATCCCATCCGCTGCAAAGAGGAGAGGCTCGCGGGTGCTATAAGCCCGGAAATATGAAGACTTGTTCCCCCAAAAGAAATAATGAAAAGGAAAGAAAAGAAAAGAAAAGATTCTCAAGCATGGCGTACGCCTTTCAAGTCAGGGATAAATGGCATTGGAGTAGCGGGATTATGGTGGAAGTGGGAAGGCGCTGCATTAGCGAGCATCGCTTTGTTCAGGCAAGATACTCCGTTGATTTTCAGGGGTATCCTACCATCTCCATGCAGATCCTTCGATGGCCGCGCGCGGGGTACCCCGTCGCATACTCATGCCTTGTAAGTCAACGGAGGGAGATGTTTTGTGAGTTTATACCGAGTATATGATGCTCTCTTTCATGCGCAGATGTAACATCCTGGGAACTCTAACAGATTAAAACAGGCTTAGCAAGGATTATAGACAGCAAGAAAGACAAGCTTTTCCCCTCATATCTTGGTCGGAAAACATCCATGTTGAATGTTTCTTATCTCTGGGCGAACGGACGAGACATGTTCTTTTGAACTGTTCGATCAGCTGTACCTCCATTTCCTGTCTATCGCTCTTTTTCGTGTATAAAAAGAGCTCTCTCCACACAAGATTCACCCCCAAATTTGGCTGGAGCCTGACATTCTGCTATGTTCCAGGCGACTGATACCTGCTTATCCGGCAGAACTTTGCGAGCATTGCTCAAGAAGCATATACGTATACAAACGTTCATGCTGCGTCTTCTATCAATAGGCATACCCCAGACCAAGTTTTGACCATGTCCCGGCCGCTTCTATGCGAGTACCTTAGAATGCTTCAGGGAGATACCCGCGGGAATACGGTTGCCGTATTCCCTATATCATGGCATATAAATACCTAAATCTTCACTCCAGAGAACTTTGTCCCTTCTTCTCTTTTGTTTTCTGCAAAATCTTTTCCGTTCATCTCATAACCCTAGCTCAGGGTGTCTACAAAGATGCGTCTTCTCAAGTTTGTGTGCCTGTTGGCATCAGTCGCCGCCGCAAAGCCCACTCCAGGGGCGTCACACAAGGTCATTGAACATCTTGACTTTGTCCCGGAAGGATGGCAGATGGTTGGTGCCGCGGACCCTGCTGCTGTCATTGATTTTTGGCTTGCCATCGAGCGTGAAAACCCAGAAAAGCTCTACGACACCATCTATGACGTCTCCACCCCTGGACGTGCACAATATGGCAATCATTTAAAGCGCGAAGAATTGGATGACTTACTACGCCCAAGGGCAGAGACGAGCGAGAGCATTATCAGCTGGCTCACCAACGGCGGAGTCAACCCACAACATATTCGGGATGAAGGGGACTGGGTCAGATTCTCCACCAACGTCAAGACTGCTGAAAAGTTGATGAATACCCGATTCAACGTCTTCAAGGACAACCTAAATTCCGTGTCAAAAATTCGAACTTTGGAGTATTCCGTCCCTGTAGCTATATCAGCTCATGTCCAAATGATCCAGCCAACTACCTTATTTGGAAGACAAAAGCCACAAAACAGTTTGATTCTAAACCCCTTGACCAAGGATCTAGAATCCATGTCTGTTGAAGAATTTGCTGCTTCCCAATGCAGGTCCTTAGTGACTACTGCCTGTCTTCGAGAATTGTACGGACTTGGTGACCGTGTCACTCAGGCTAGGGACGACAACCGAATTGGAGTATCTGGCTTTTTGGAGGAGTATGCCCAATACCGCGATCTTGACCTCTTCCTCTCTCGCTTTGAGCCATCCGCCAAAGGATTTAATTTCAGTGAAGGTCTTATTGCCGGAGGAAAGAACACCCAGGGGGGGCCTGGAAGCTCAACTGAGGCCAACCTTGATATGCAATATGTCGTTGGTCTGTCCCACAAGGCAAAGGTCACTTATTACTCCACCGCTGGCCGTGGCCCATTAATTCCCGATTTATCTCAGCCAAGCCAAGCTTCAAACAACAACGAACCATACCTTGAACAGCTGCGCTATCTCGTAAAGCTCCCCAAGAACCAGCTTCCATCTGTATTGACCACTTCCTATGGAGACACAGAACAGAGCTTGCCCGCCAGCTATACCAAAGCCACTTGCGACCTCTTTGCTCAGTTAGGAACTATGGGTGTGTCTGTTATCTTCAGCAGTGGTGATACTGGGCCCGGAAGCTCATGTCAGACCAATGATGGCAAGAACGCAACTCGCTTCAACCCTATCTACCCAGCTTCTTGCCCGTTTGTGACCTCCATCGGTGGAACCGTTGGTACCGGGCCTGAGCGTGCAGTTTCATTCTCCTCTGGAGGCTTTTCAGACAGGTTCCCCCGCCCACAATACCAGGATAACGCTGTTAAAGACTACCTGAAAATTTTGGGCAACCAGTGGAGCGGATTGTTTGACCCCAACGGCCGTGCTTTCCCAGATATCGCAGCTCAGGGATCAAATTATGCTGTCTATGACAAGGGAAGGATGACTGGAGTCTCTGGCACCAGGTATGGAAATATAGACAAGCCTTGGTAACCTTTGTTCATGGAGTATACTAATATAATCTACAGTGCATCTGCCCCTGCCATGGCAGCCATCATTGCCCAGCTTAACGATTTCCGACTGGCAAAGGGCTCACCCGTGCTCGGATTCTTGAACCCATGGATATATTCCAAGGGTTTCTCTGGCTTTACGGATATTGTTGATGGCGGTTCCAGGGGTTGCACTGGTTACGATATATACAGCGGCTTGAAGGCGAAGAAAGTTCCCTATGCCAGCTGGAACGCAACTAAGGGATGGGACCCAGTAACGGGCTTTGGTACTCCCAACTTCCAAGCTCTCACTAAAGTGCTGCCCTAAACGCCTCTATTCAACTTTTGAACCCTGCTATTGGGACATATCAGCCCGGTCAAGATAATATAGCCGCCATGATGTGCACATGCAAAATATAATTAGCACAACAAATCGAAACTCCTTGCCAGTAGTAGTTCTATTTATATTTTGTGAACTTGGCGCTGCAGCATATTCCGTCCAAGTCTCTGTATCTCATGATGATTAGGCCCCCTGCAAAGATCCGTCGCTGGGATATAACTAGTTATGTAACGAGATGCTGTATTGCGGCGGAGCTCCAACAAGTGGCAGGTGAATGTTGCTTCGCTTCGCTTCCCTTCTCCTTTCATCGCGAAATGGAGTACGGAATATATTTGCATAACTAGTTAATGGATCTCTACTTAGCGCCGGACGCCCCGTACGAAATACGTAAGAAGCAAACGCCTACAGAAATGCTTACTCTTCGTGCATAACAAGGATGTTCATGCATTCAAGTCAGAACCCACCGAGGACCGAAGGAACCGGACAACATGAAACTAGCCGAGGAGACGGACTATCCGTATCGATCCCACAGTTATTGAGTTCCAGGCAGTCACATATCAATCACCATGATGAACGTGCAGAATGGGTTAAACACCATATCTGCCAACTACAAGAAAGCAGGCAGGGAAGACTAGCGACGCCCGTCACATCGAATCGCTCCACCCGGATATGCAGCTTCGGAGGCTTCTTCCCTGCTGATGTGGCCGCCTGGGAGCTGACTCGCTCGATCTTGATACGAGGATGTGAGATATCAAACATGGTCTGCAGCCAGCCCTGTCTCCTTCTCCCTCTGTCCATGCTGGCTGACCGCATCCTCCAAGCGCTTAGCCGGTTCGCTAGACGGAGTTCAGCAGGCAGAGGAATATATATAGACTACCGACTTCCGTGGCCGCTGCCGACTCCTCAAGGCTGCTTAGAGGGTCTAATCCCTCTTTCGAACAGTCAAAGCCGAAGATGAACGGAGACTGTGGCACCTTCTAAGCCCTTTGTTCTTACATTCACGCACAGGCTGCTGGTTAGTTAAGAACCGACGGGCTGGTAGCGCACCTACAACTAGCTATCTAGACCTCCGAGCATCCCGAGGGGTGGAAGTCACCATGACCGCCTCGATAGAAGCCGCTGATGTTATAGGTAGAGAAAACAGCCATGAAAGCGGCCATATGGGCCCGTCTTTAGGGCCACCAGAAGTCTCATCGTCCTCGTCTCAGCAGTCGACCCAAATCCCCGTACCGGCGAGCTACAGCCAGCGCAACCGCAAGGCCACCAGCTTGGCCTTATATCCTCAACCTCTTGACGAACCCATGGGACAGCATGGCCTTGATACTGCCCCACAAACAAGTATCTCACTAGCTGCCTCTCTGAGCGAGGTTCTCAACCCGCACGCCCGAACATCGACAACCGTTTTCAAGAATAATAAGATCGCCGAAACTCAGGCTTCTGATATCAGCCCAAAGGACAACAGCGCTTCTCTTGCTGATAGACTCGTTGCAATATCCAATTCACAAATCAACACTATAGAAACAGAGAGGTCAACACCTCGCTTATCTGTTAAATCACCCTGCTATTTTCACCAGCGATTTGATGATGCCGTCAATATCGAACGAGTTCTGGATGAAGTAGTTAGTGACGAATGGATGTCACATTCCCGATTGATGCAGACTGCTACTGGGGTTAGAGAGGTTTCAAAACATCTTCAACGACGGTCCATAAAGCTAGCAGTTAGAAATGTCATGATTGTCACAAAGGCACGCGATAACAGCCTTGTATACCTTACTCGAGAATTGGCCGAATGGCTTTTAAGTACCCCCAGATATGGCAGTGACCTAGGCGTCAACGTCTATGTGGATGCAAAGCTACGACTATCGAAACGTTTTGATGCCCCTGGCTTACTAGACAAGGAGTCAAGATATGAGCATATGCTCAAATACTGGACCCCGGATCTCTGCTGGTCACATCCTGATAAGTTCGACCTAGTGATCACCCTCGGCGGTGATGGAACGGTTCTGTTCACTTCGTGGCTTTTCCAGCGTGTTGTTCCCCCAATCCTATCATTTTCCCTAGGAAGCTTGGGATTCTTAACCAATTTTGAGTTCTCCAAGTACAGAGAGCACCTCAACCAGATAATGGGAGATGTAGGCATGCGGGTTAATCTTCGTATGAGATTCACATGTACGGTGTACAGGTCAAACCCGAGGAATGGAAGCAAGGCTGTTCCGGCCGAAGAAGTTGAACGGTTCGAGGTCGTCAACGAACTTGTCATTGATCGCGGGCCGTCTCCCTATGTATCTAACCTGGAGGTATACGGTGATGATGAACTTCTTACAGTAGTGCAGGCTGATGGCTGCATATTCTCAACACCAACAGGTTTGTATGTCCACTGACACACGAAGCATATCAAACAACTAATGCATATTCTTCAGGTTCAACGGCCTACTCACTCTCAGCGGGCGGGTCTTTAATTCACCCATCTATACCTGCCATCCTACTGACACCCATCTGTCCTCACACACTATCTTTCCGCCCTATGGTCCTCTCTGATACCCTTCTACTTCGCATTGCCGTTCCCCGACACTCTCGCTCCTCAGCGTACTGCTCTTTTGACGGCAAAGGACGCATAGAGTTACGGCGTGGTGATTACGTGACTGTCGAAGCAAGCCAATTCCCATTTCCAACGGTTGTCTCTCAAAGTGGAGAATGGTTCCAGAGTGTCCGCCGCACGTTGCGCTGGAACGTAAGGGGAGCCGTTCAAAAGGGTTGGAATGGCAGAGAGGACTGTCCTAATAGTGAAGTTAATACTTTTCCTACCAACGCTGATAAGATTGTCGATTCTGGACAGTATGATGAGGACGATGATAATGAACCAGATGATGATTGGGATATCGATACCGATACTAATACCGACATGGGCCAGGGCGTCGACAGTGGCCTTGGACAGAGTGAATGTGGTGACTCTCCAAATACAGGGAGCAGTAGCCCTATTCACAGAGTGATGAGTTTACTGAACATTTAATTACTGAGACCTCCATATACCTACTATCTGTTCTCCTTCGGCCTTTTTTTTCCCCTTCACCTTATATTATGCTATTATTCTCTTAGAGTGGATTTCGGTGAAAGGCCCGGCTCTTTTTTGCATTTTCCTCAAACCGCCTTGTTTGGCTAACTGATACCTATATATGACTTAAACATGTTTTACTGACGTACCATGATGTTGATACACTCAATGATTTCACGGCTCTTATGACTCACGAATTATGTCTTATCTCTATTCTTCTTCCCTGCCTCAATTCTCAATTACACTCCTACGTCCATTCACGGTTGTAGAGTATCATTATACTTCGGTTGTAAGCGATCAACAGTTGTCTTATAAACCCGAGGCAAGCCTGTGTCTTCAAAGGCGACGCTATCATCCAAAGCCATCGCCGCAACCGCCTTTGCTGCTAAGAAACATACTGGCATTCCATGACCATTGAACCCAGCAAGAATCAGCTGGCCATCTTTTGAGGGTACTCTGCCAATATGGGGCAAGGAATCTGCGGAATAACCCATTACTGAACAATCAGTTCTATTAGTATCAACTAATTGCGAATCAATTCCATTGAAAGAAAGGAAAAAAAAAAAGGGGAGGGGGGGGGATGGGGCGAAATGACTTACCACCAGTCCAAACTTCCTTAGAATATGCACCACTATCTTCCCAGCCGACGAAGGTCCGTTGCATATACCCATCAAAATACTCCTTAGCAATATCTATCAAGACCCCATCATCCGGATTGTTATGCCATTGCTCCAGCAAGGGAGTAAACGTATGGCTTGCTCCGCCAACGATCATACTCCCGTCGGGGCGTGGAATGAGGTATCCTCCTGCTCCAGAACCATGACGAGTAACATATGTGTTTTCTAGGGGGGGTGGTCTTTTCTTCTCATCTGCCGCAGAAGGTACCACGATATGGCAGCATAGACCTTTGCAGGGAATAATTGCCTTTACGTACTCTGGAGCCAATGCAGAGGTATACGCATTCGACGCTAAAATAAGCTTCTTTGCACGTATACTCCCTCTATTATTACCAGTTGTGACCTTCCAGAATCCTTCTACATCACGGCTGGGACTGATTTCCAGCACTAGGGTGTTTGTTTGAAGATTCAATCCCTTGGAGACAGCAATTTCCAACAACCCGGATATAAATTTATACGGCCAGATATGGCCTGCTTGGAAAGAGACGTAACCTTTTGCTCCCTTCACTTTAGTTTCTTTGAGATCATCCTCCGATAAAGGTTGCTCTGCTGTGGGAAATCGAATCACAGCGTCCTTCATAAAAGCATATTTCCCCTGTTGATAAGAGTCAGATAGTAAGGGTTCAACACCCCGAAGGACTTTGTCCATCACGTCTTTATCAAAATAGACATCTAGTGATCTAGTCAAGGTAAAATCACAATCTATCTTCTCTCGTTCAATCACATCTGCTATGATCCGGAGATGGGATATTTCGTATTTGACTATTTCAGCTGTTGCTTCGACACCATGGCGAGAAATGAATCTAGATGCATGGCCGTACATTTCAGGTCGAATATGACCACCTTTTTCACTGTTAATATTATATCAAGAGTAGATATGTAGGTCTTAAAGTACCATTTCTTCCTGTCGCCCCAGAGCATAGCTGTCTAGCCTCCAGCAGGACCGTGTTTGGTGGTGTCTCATTCCCCTGGAATATATGATATGCAACAGAAGCACCAGAGTACCCTCCACCAATGATCAAGATGTCACACTCAGATGGTAAATCAGGCGTGGATCTGTGAGCATCCAGTTCATGGGGTGACGTACGCCAAAACGGAATATGACTCTCGAAGCCAGCAGCTGGCTGAGGATATGGCTTTGACTTCATCACTTGATGACTCTATTGGTGTTGACTTGAGCAGATGGACAGATATTGAGTATTGTAAAGTCCTAGAACACATCTCGGACCTCTATATATATCTGGATACGAAGAGGGGTCAGCTAGTTATGCAACCCATGATGATCGTATACCCAGCCTTGTACAATGTCAAACATACATACAGGGCGTAAGACAAGCATATAGAGGATCAGATAATGGCTCCATAGCTTTCATGATAACATTAATATGAGATAGGTATATATTTCTCTCGTGGATAAGCAAGTTTGATGTAATATATTTCATCAGACGTCTACTTGGAGATCTAGTGCCACAGGATTAGACTTCAAGGAACCAAACCCTTACGCGGAAATGTAGAAAACAACCTCCCATCTCGTAGGCCGCTCTATAATTTTTAATTAAGTGAAATATGGAGAAATATTTTTCATATATCCTCCCTTTCCAAATGTCATAGCCAATTTAGCCATACTATTTGCAATTATCCAGCCCTAGCGATGTTGAATGCCTCACCAGTCACAACTCTCCATCAACACGGTCGCAAGTTCCTCAAGACCTTTCTTGTCAACCTCGTCAAACCCTGAGGGTTCAGCGCAGTCTATATCGATGATTGCAACAGTCTATAGACAGTGTTAATTGAAGATATGCAGAGCAATAGAGTTGAATATTTACCTCTCCATTTACTAGGATAGGAACAACAATCTCACTCCTACTGTCTGCATCGCAGGCAATATGTCCTTCCCAATTCAGCACATCGGGTACAATTACCGTCTCTCTCTTTTCAGCCGCAGTGCCGCAAACTCCTTTACCAAAATTGATCCATTGGCAGGCAGGTTTACCCTGGAAGGGGCCTAGCAAAAGCTTTGTTTTGGAGAGAGAGGATTCGGGTATGGAGGAGGGGAATTTATCCTCCCGGATATAGAAGCCTGCCCAGTTTACGGAGGATGAGGGAGCAGGCAGACTGGCATAGGCGTGCCATAGGAGGGAGGCCACATTTGCAGTGTTGCTGAACTACGTCAGCGAGCGGTAAGTGCTAAGATGAAGTTGAGCGGTACCTTATCTGTTAAAGTAACAATTCAGGTTCAATTAGCTTCATGAGAGTGGAGCGCAGTATTTTTAGGATGCATACCCAATGCCGTTGTCCTTCTATCAGGCCCTTTGTCTGCTGTATGACTTGTTTATATATATCCTCCTTCGAGGACCCCGCGGGGAAATATGACGAGTCTGCGTGTGGCTATTCAATTCTTTAGTAATCGTAGCTGTTAATGACCGGAGAAGGGACCGACCATTGTGAATATAATATAGCTAAGCTTGGTAACCCAGCATAGAATAATAGTAATAATTTGAGTATTCAAATGTGTTGACCGCCAGTGACCGTGTTTCCTCCATAGCGGGGAAAGGCGGCTGGGGATTAGTAACTAAGGGGAGATAAGACCGGAGATAACCTAAATGAGACTCCAAGTTCATCATTGTAGATGGGGTAGCAAAGAGATGGATAAGCATTCAATCATTGTACTTCATTTTTCATTACGTAGCTATTTACTTTTTCCAGGCACAAAACATTGCCATCTTCAGTACAAAATGGCCTGGGTGAAGCAGCTCGACCTCCATTCGTGAAGTACTTATCCGTTCCTCTCTCTAGATAGACGACTGCCGTAGTAAATGCAATGGCAAAAGCATGAGTTGACGTGTTTTTGTTATGGTTCCTTTTTTGTTTTGTCTTTTCGTGTAAACGTTGCAGCAAGTTTCATCTGGCTGATGGCTTGATAACTTTCTTAACGACGTCCTCGACCTCATCCCAGTCTCTGCTGTCGACTCTCATGATATCTGTTCCGAAATACTTCTGAATATCCATGAGCATGGTCCACTCCTCCTTGTTGGACACAAAGGAGACTGCTACGCCGACACGCCCGAATCGTCCTGTGCGACCAATGCGGTGAAGATAAGTCTGGGGGTCGGCGATACGTTCTCCAGCACCAGGAGCATGCAGCTCGGGTATATCCTAGCATGTAGCAGAAAGGTTAGTTCAAGGCTTGCTATTAGGCGATGTTTCATGTCGGGTCCAGACTCACGTAATTGATGACCATGGAGACAGTCTGTACATCTATTCCCCGAGCAAGGACGTTGGTGGTAATGAGCACCTTGGCAGTACCCTTACGGAAACTGTCGATAACTTCATCACGCTTCTGACCCTCTACACCGCCAGTAAGAGAAACAACTGTGTGACCCTCTTCTACCATGCGACGTTCAATTTCAACCGCCGAGGCACGTGTCTAAAACATAGTCAGTGCTAATGATTGCTGATGAATAAAAGAGCTGAAAGTACCTTGACGAAGATGATAGATGATCCGATTGTTAGGAGGCCGTAGAACTTGACGAGGATTTCATACTTATGTTCCGTGGAGTCACAGTCGAGATACAACTGCTTAATTCCCTCTACGGTGAGTTCTTCGTGCTTGAGAGTAAGCTGATTGGCATTGGGTGCAAACTTGTGTGCATATCGGACGACAGAGTCTGGGAAAGTAGCCGAGAACAACACTATCTGTGTGGTTTTCGGTAGGGACCTGGTGAAGTGGATTAGTATCCAATGAACAGGGATAAATTACTGAGCGAGCACTTACGATTTCATACGAATGCACTGATCGCCGAGACCTTGCTGATCCAACATGTTATCAGCTTCATCTAGCACCAGAACCTTGACATGCTGTGTGTTAAACAGTCTCTTTCGAATGAAATCTTGCACGGTTCCAGGGGTGCCAACAACCAAGGAAGCCTCAACAGGTTGGTTTCTGTTCGTCTCCATAGGCACAAGGGTGGCAATCTTCAGTCCTTCGATGAAAGAGCCCATGACCTGCACGACACCAACGATCTGGCGGGCAAGCTCACGGCTAGGCGCGAGAATGAGAGCTTGTGGGACATTGATCATTTCGGGAGTAACTTCGAGACGGCTGAGCACATTGAGAACGAAAGCAGCCGTCTTTCCAGTTCCAGACTGAGACTGGCCGATCATGTTCTGTGGAGGGTTCGACATAAGAAGTGGAAGGGCGCGTTCTTGGATCTTGGATGGCCGACTGAAGCGCATCTGACGCAGGCCTCTCAGAACAGCCTCATCGCTAAACAAGTAGTCGAGTATTAATAAGTATGAGGCGAATATATAAGATGGAAAGCAGGGAACGAACGAAGTGGGATGGCGACTCACAGGCCGAGTTCTTCGAAGCTCTTGATGGAGTATAGAGGGTTGTTTGGGTCCGCCTGGAGATCACTCAGCTGGACGTTGACGGTGTATTCAGAGTCACGAAGCATCGAGGCTCCAGTCCGGTAGGCAGCACCATCTGTTTGGGCATCTTCAACGCCTCCTGAAGACTCTTCTGGTTTCGTGTCAACTTCCTTCCCCTTGGGCTCTGCAAACGAAGCTCTCTCTGCAAGAGGGGTACCAGCTGCTGGATTTTCGGACGCCATCGTCAGGATGTGCGCGCGGTTTCGAATGCTGTTGATCGATTTCGGAGGTGGTTTGAAAGATGTCGAGGGCGCCGAACGCAAATTAGAGAAGTGTTGTTCTTTTTATTGATTGAGCCAGCAATGTTGATAACAGCCCGCGTGAAGAAATTGTTTATCGTGTCGCGGGGGAGATTGGCAAGCTGGGTATAGTTATTGAAAATGCCGCCAAACGTCGAGGCAGCGTAGCTGGGAGACAGCTGCAGCAAGACGAGACTATCTTGACGTTAGAAATATCTTCTTGCACCGTCGAATGATTCCTCGACAGCGTCTTTTGGCGTTTTTGTCTCGTCTTCGTCTTTTTGCTGCTGAAGTTGAGGGAGCTTAAAGATGTCCTGCTTAGTCATGAACCAAGCTGCAAAGCATGGCAGGTGATAGAACGAATTTCATTGGTTACTTTAATAAGTGAGAGCTCTCCCGTTGGCGGAATTTTGGGCGTTTATCACCTGACCACATGGAAATTCATAACTACAGTCTGCTGACTCATCAAATATATCTATTTCCCACCGCGAGAGCTGTAGAAGACATTGAGATGTTCTTGATATCTAAAAAGTCTTAAGAGAAGGGCAGGAAGCAGTTGGACACGAAGAGGAATGGTGATGGCCTGGCCGCTGCTAAGCCTCTTCTCTTTCTGCTTCAACTATGGAATCCTTTCCTTCGGTGGCAGCTAGCTAGTTATCATTCAACTACTTAATAGTTAATGGCGGGCGACATTGAGAAGGAAGCCTAGGGTATCCCAGCACAATAGCGGAGGTCACTATATGTTCCCTTGCTCCCTCAAGAGTATCCGTAAATATACGGAGGAGAGTAGATAAACGGGTATGATCAGGTTCTTCTTTTTCTTCGGCGGCTCCCTGCCAGCAAGACCATATCCCGGCCAGTTAGCCGTGTAGCCCAGCAGTAGAGAGACTGCTTTACAGGCTGTACTCCGTAGATAATGCCTAATATTATCCAACACAAATGGATCTCCTTTGTCCCCAGTTTGCAGCCCGATCTGATTACGTATTTAGTTTGGTTGCTCTGGGTGTGGCTTGAAGGCCGTCGAAAGTGGCTGCTGGGCTTCGCATGGTTTACTAGTTGCGACCAGAACAACCAACCACCAGAAGGCGACGAAGAGACACAAGACAGCAAGAAGAGGACAAGACGAGAGGAAACAACTGTATACAGCTCCAGCAGATGCTAGCTATGCATGCTCCCCCCTGCAGCTCTGCTCTACCGGGTGCTTTCTATGCTCGCTGGGCCGCTGATCTCTGAATCCCTCACATAAACAGAGATATTGACTCGACTAGATCCTAATAGAATAACAAATTCATGAGTGATGGCGGACACGGTTAACCCGCAGTTCGGCACAGAGCTCAAGGTAAGTCGCTTCGAGTCTTACCGAGTTCGAGGCTGGTAGCTGATTGCTGTGGACAGGATGCCTTTAAGCCCGTCAACGCCTGGGTACGTTTGAGATAGAGCATACGACTCTCCCCCCCCTCCCTCCTCCCACATCAACAGCGGTATTATTGACAACACCCAGGTTTCCGTCGGTATAAACTGGCTAGACGAGATACAGCAGTTCTATCGTGACCGCAGCGTTATCGAAAAAGAGTACGCAGCCAAAATAACCGCCCTCTGTCGCAAATACCATGACCGCAAGTCGAAGAAGTCCAGTACACTTAGTGTCGGAGATACCCCCGTTATGACGCCCGGATCGCTCGAGTCTGCTTCCCTGACGACTTGGTCAACACAACTATCCGCCTTGGAGGCAGAGGCCGCGGCTCGGGACAAGTTTGGAGCTGACCTGGTCTTCCGGGTTGCGGAGCCGCTCAAGCAGGCTGCAGGAAGGCTGGAAGAGTTGCGCAAGAACCATTCGGATTATGCGGGGAAGCTGGAGAAAGAGAGAGATGCATCGTATGCCGATTTGAAAAAGAGCAAAGGGAAATACGATGGGGTCTGCCAGGAGGTCGAGAATAAAAGAAAGAAAGTAGAGAGCTCGTTTGACCATGGAAAGCAGAAAGCTCAGCTCTCATATCAAAATCAGATCGCGGAGATGAATAATGTCAAGGTGTGTCTTTCTATTCTTCTCATTCAGGATTTGATGCTAACTGTGGCTGCAGAATACGTATCTAATTGCTATAAATGTCACGAATAAACTAAAGGAGAAATATTACCATGAATATGTACCGGAATTGCTTAATGTAAGCCATGACTCCAGTTTAGACTGACTACTTTTGCTAATGCCAGTATAGGGCCTACAGGACTTGAATGAAACGAGGGTGAATAAGCTGAATGCCATTTGGACATTGGCCGCAGAGCTGGAGAAGGCCACATTAGCCCAGGGTAACGAACAGGTCTCACACATCCTGTCCGAGATTCCACGCAATGAACCCCGACTGGATTCGATGATGTTCATGCGCCACAATACAGCTCACTGGCAGGAACCACTAGACATGCAGTTCGAACCCAGCCCTGTCTGGCACGATGAGCCCACGATGGTCATTGATGAGCCAGCCAAGGTGTTCCTCCGCAACTTGCAGAGCAAGAGCAAGAGCCAGATGAAAGAGCTCAAGGCCGAAGCAGACAAGAAGAGACGGGAAGTCGAGAACGCAAAGAAGGTTCGGCAGAGTATCCGCGACGGTACCGATAAGCGTGACGAGGTCGAGATCGTGCGAGCTATGTTTGCCTTGCAGGAAGACCTCCATCTACTTGACCGGAAACGACTGACAGGTGAGATCGAAGTATCAACCGTCTCCGTAGTAGGTGACCTGTCACTGGGAGCAAAGAACCATAACTTCCGGGCGCAAACCTTTAAGATTCCTACTAACTGTGACCTGTGCGGTGAGAGAATCTGGGGACTCTCGGCCAAGGGGTTCGACTGTCGAGATTGTGGCTATACATGCCATAACAAGTGCGAGATGAAAGTGCCCGCCGAATGTCCCGGAGAACAGACAAAGGAGGAGCGGAAGAAGCTGAAGGCTGAGAGACAGGAGCAGGCCAATGCGACCCCAGCAACACTGCCGGACATTAGTCCGCGCATTTCGACGCCGAGCACGGCTGAGCTACCAGCTTTATCGAGACGAGATACTATGAACTCATTGAGTTCAGGGTACTCGTCCAATGCCATTAACAAATCTACATCTGCGTTGTCTATCAGCCAGCCTGCCAATGGTGGGTCGGCTTCAACATCGCCGGCGATAGCTGAGCTGCCAGACTCTACTGCTGCTGCTGCTGCCGTCGCAAAGAAGCCGGCCGTAGCTGCTCCAAGGAAGAACAGGATATTAGCCCCTCCTCCAGCGCAATATGTGAGTGCATCGCCTGCACCATCTGCTAACAACACCAAGGAAAACCCCACCGAGCCAGGCGGGAAGATGATGTATGCATATCAGGCCAACGGGGAGGATGAGATAACAGTAGACGAGGGGCAGGATGTCGTCGTCGTCGAACCAGATGGTACACCTTTCTTTGCTTGCATTATTTCTTTCTCTCTGTTCTTTGTTGTCAACTAACAGGAGTAGATGGCTCTGGCTGGATGCGAGTGAGAGCCAACGGACAAACCGGCCTGGTCCCGGCATCCTATGTCGAACTATCACCAACGCCCGCAGCATCACCCAACCCCAACGGCAGCGGTAGCGCTGCCACTGACAACGACAACGGCCGTCCAGAGTCAACGTACTCTGCCTCTAGCGCTTCACTAGCGAGCAGCACCAACCCAGCAACCGCCGGAAAACGACGCGGTCCCGCGGTGGCCCCCAAACGAGGAGCAAAGAAGCTGCAGTATGTGGTAGCCATGTACGACTACGAGGCACGCACCGACGCTGAATGGAGCATGTCTGAGGGCGACCGGTTCGTGCTGGTCAATCGGGACAGCGGTAACGGCTGGGCGGACGTCGAGAAGGGAGGTCTGACCAAATGTGTGCCAGCAAATTACATCGAAGACGCATGATTGCTCAGGCATGTCTCTTCCTCAATGCATGTATATAGCATGTTGCAATGCTACTTGGGCTTAGATGGTTGGACATGTCATGTTCTTCTGTTTTTTTTTTTTATCATCATGCATGTATATTTTTGGGGGGTTATGCAACTCTCTCACTCAGCCCATTCGCTGCTGTTGCACCAACACTCATCCCTTCGACCTGACGCTGTCCCTGTGGTTCGTTCGTTCCCCTGAAAAGATGGCCGGACGATGGCTTGATGACGATGACGCTGGCCAAGAGATGTGCAGCTTCATCGCAGCATGAAACAGGGTGGGGAGAAGCACAGCGCAGAAGCAAGGAGAGCGAGCAGCCACTGCATGATTATTAAGATCATCAGGGGGAGCCGTCGATGCCGTCTCTCTCCCTCAGATCTTCCTTGCTTCTTCTGGAGCCAGCAGGAGTTGCTGATTATACTACTCCGTATGAGTGCTTCTCTGGCATCGTGCCACCGCCACCGTATACGCTGCATGGACAAGGGCTTCGACCAGCCAGTCACTGAGTCAAGGACAGGGCCGTCGACTGGCTGACCGAGCCCTTGACGGCCCCAGAGAGCCAAAGAGTCCCCAGCAGACCTTCTCTCTTGTACCAGTGACCTGCTGTGCAGTGCAGCATCGCTAGCAAACTCAAGTACCGCCGCCCCCAAGCCCCTGACCCGCCTTGCATCGTCCCTTCTTACGCGGCTTGCGCTGGGTGGAGCAGAAAAAAGTAAAACATCGAGGGCTGATTCCAAGGACTTTTTATATACTGAGCGAGACGGACATCTCACCTCCTGCGGATCTTCTTCCCTCTGTCAACTTTTCTCTTCTTCTTCTTCTTCTCCATCTTTACTTTCGTTCACTCGCTCGCTGACCCCTTCTTTAATCAACGGGAAAGCAAGATACACGCTCGTTTCAAGGCGTCTCTTTCCCCCCGGGCTCGTCTCTCTTTAATCGCCCGCATCTCCCTCTCGCTCCTCCGGACTCAAGCGTGAGATTCGACTGCGACTTTTTGTTTTCGGCATTTCTTTCTAGACTTCAACTTGGTTTCACGATGAAGAGCGCCATTGCTGCCTTGACTGTTGCCTTCGGGGCCGCTTCTGCCCTCGCTGGCTCTGTCACTCCCATCACTATCAAGGGAAACGGTAGGCTGGGACCAGACATACACAACAAAAGACAAACGGCGCGGCTAACACAGTTGACAGCCTTCTTCAAGGGAAACGAGCGTTTCTATATCCGTGGAGTGTAAGAACTGCTGCCCTATATCTGCTATATATATATATATATATCTGCCTTTATGAAGCGAGGATGCTAACGGGTTGATGTTTGACAGTGACTACCAGCCGGTACGTGATGAGAGATAACAACAGCAGAAACACTGAGCATGTCGGCTAACACTCAACAGGGTGGTTCCTCCAAGGTCATCGATCCCATTGCCGATATCGAGACCTGCAAGCGAGACGTCAAGTACTTCAAGGAACTTGGCCTCAACACCATCCGTGTCTACACCATCGATAACACTAAGAACCATGATGAGTGCATGAAGCTCCTCGCCGATGCTGGCATCTACCTCGTTCTCGACGTCAACACTCCAAAGTACTCCATCAACCGTGCTGGTATGCTCCCTGATATACCTGACAATTCAAGAATGCAGAATTTCAGTTGCTAATTGGACCCGCTTAGATCCCGAAATCTCTTACAATGCTGTCTACCTTCAGAGCATCTTTGCTACCGTTCAGATGTTCGCCAAGTACGACAACACCTTGGCCTTTTTCTCTGGAAACGAGGTCATCAACGATGGCAAGACTTCCGCCGTTGCTCCTTGGGTCAAGGCTGTTACCCGTGACATCCGTAGCTTCCTCAAGGAGCGCAAACTTAGACAAGTGCCAGTTGGATACTCTGCTGTATGTCACCTATTTCATCATTCCAGGAAATAGTACGACAAACTGACAATTTTTAGGCTGATGTCGACTCCAACCGCGAGCAAACTGCCCACTACATGAACTGCGGTTCTGACGATGAGCGTTCTGACTTCTTTGCCTTCAACGACTACTCCTGGTGCTCTCCATCCTCTTTCGAGACTTCCGGCTGGGACCAGAAAGTCAAGAAATTCGAAGACTATGGCATCCCCATCTTCTTGTCTGAGTACGGTTGCAACATCAACAAGCGTGACTTCAGCGAGGTCGAGGCTCTCTACTCCAAGGAGATGACCGGCGTCTACTCTGGTGGTCTCGTCTACGAATACTCCCAGGAACCCAGCAACTACGGTCTTGTTGAGATCAAGGGCGGTGCAAGCTCTGACCCATCTAAGCTCTCCGACTTCAACGCTCTCAAGTCCATGTTCGCCAAGGTCAAGAATCCCACTGGTGACGGCGGTTACAACCAGAAGAGTGGCTCTAGCAAGTGCCCGCCCAAGAAAGTACCTGAATGGGATGTTGACGGCGAGAAGAAACTCCCACAGCTTCCAAGCGATGCCGAGAAGTACGTGAAGAACGGTGCCGGTGATGGCCCAGGTCTCAAGGGCCCCGGCAGTCAGTCTTCTGGATCCAAGGCTCAAGGACCCGACACCAGCGGTAATGGCAAATCTGGCTCTGGTGGCTCCCCAGGCTCCGGAGGCAACAAAGACACCCCTGATGCTGCTGCTGGTCTCCGTGCTCCTGAATTTGTCGTGGTTCTCGCCGCTATCGGCCTGTCCACCCTCGTCGGTGCATCCATGATGACGATCTAAAGGATTTGTTTTTTTCTGTACAGTCGGTTGCGTATTAATGTCCCTCTGGGTTTGGAATGGATGGATACCTGGGTCCTGGGTGCCCTTGTTCAATATTGTTTTTAACGGGGAGGGTGGCCATCCCTTGTATGAATAGGCTTCCAGTAGTCGTATAATGCAGTTGTCAGCCAGTCTTCTGAAGTCTTTTGCATTCTTTCTTGTCCCTGATTTGATTTCCATTCTTCTACTCTATTCTCTCACTCTTCTTGACTTGCTCTTATTCTAGACTGTTTTAATACACGTTAATTGAATAATTTGCTTTTTAACGACCGCCAATTCTTCTCTTCCCCAACCCTCATATCAAAAGTCTTCCTACCAAACCATCCAATTGTCTTCAAGTATTTCTAATGCACGTTTACTCTTTCCCCGAAAGAGTAGAAACCGACGACTTTGTCCTCCAAGCCCGGGTGGTCTAGTTGGCTATGATTCTCGCTTAGGGCCTTAACCCTAAGTAATTGTATGCGAGAGGTCCCGCGTTCGAATCGCGGCTCGGGCCCATTCTTTTTTGTCTTTTTGTTATCGCTATTCACAATAAACCAGAGCTGTTGGTTGGGGTGCTAGTAAGTGGAGTCTCTCTGGCTGTTGTTGTTGTTGTTGGTTCTCATATTTTTAGTGTTGGAGTTATCTTGGTCAAATATTAGTTGACTCAGGGGTAAGAAGCAGGGGGGCATGAAAAGTTGTATGAACTAAGAGAAATGAAGACGGTGATATGTATATAGACTATTCATAGAGATATAGTCAAGTGGTACATTCTAATCACAAGATAAAAGATGCTCCCTTCGTTATCATTCATGCATTTTCCGACTGCACGGTTTGCTATATCAAGGACAACCGTTAGCAGCTGTGTCGGTATAGGCGAAACAGTTACTTACCACAAGCCAGTCCATTCCCTCGTTGATACCCTTGCCGTCAATGGCAGAACACGCCACTATACTCCAGTTTCGATCCCGTAGCTCTCCTAGCTTCAGGGCCTCCGATATCTCACCGGCTCCCTTGGCACCAGGCTGATCCTGCTTGTTTGCAAAGACCAATAGTGCAGCCTCCCGTAGCTCTTCCTCGTTGAGCATCGCAGCTAGCTCGTCTGATGCTGTACCCAGTCGTTCAATGTCCGTTGAGTCGATGACGAAAATTACCGCTGCAGTGTTGGCGTAGTAGCATCTCCAATAGGGCCGTATCGACGTTTGGCCTCCAAGATCCTATCCACACATGGCTGTTAGACAATGCTGATACTAGCATCTCGGGGGCATTGCTACGCTGACAAGGTGCTTAAGGGTGTACTCACCCAAACGTTAAAGTTAAGATTTTTATATGTGACTGACTCGACGTTGAATCCAATGGTAGGTATTGTAGTAACGACCTCTCCGATCTATATCATGTCGACAAAAGAATGTAAGCTTCTCTCTACTATGTTCACGGAATGCCGGGCTATTTATATGAGGATGAAGATGGGGAGGGGTTCGTACTTTTAGCCGGTAAAGGAGAGTTGTTTTGCCAGCATTATCCTATTGTCCAGGAGGGTCAGTTAGCATCCATATCGGAAAAGTCCTTTTGAAAATAGATGCTACAGGGGCTTATGGCCATCCTTACAAGTCCCAGTATCAAAATCCTTATCTCCTTCTTTGTCCACAACCAGCCGGATACAAGTTTAGACAGTGATCCACCCATTTTGTCTGTGGAAACGCAGCTAAACCCAGTCGTAGGCGTTCAAGAGATGGCGGTAGTCCGGGGTAAGGGCCTGACCGCCAGAGAGGGATATGCGGGCGTATAAAAGGAGTCAAGGGAGTAGCTTAGTAGTCCGGCGGCAACGGCGAGGCTTTGCCCAGCAGATATGTCCTTTGGATGCGTTTTCAAGGAGGCGTACGATTATAGGAGGCGGTAACAGCCGTAGTCGTATCGTCGTCAGGAGAAGCGTTTGCGGATTCAAGCACTGGTCTGCGCAGGCAAAGAGAGAACGGCACTCCGGGGTATTTGATGAAAGAGAAGAGAAGAGACAAGAGAAAACGATCATCAACCGGAGCGAAACCCAGCGCAGAGCAACTTCTTGACGGCTTTCAGCAGGCCGCAAAAAAGATAACTAGTTGATATATTTATCCATTATTACAAATTAGAGGTGAGGGCGTGGGCCGCATTGTTTCTACGTTTCTTCTTTCTAGTGGCGTTTTTACCCCCAAAGCTGCAAACCAGCAAGCTTCGATCGCCAAACCCGCAACGACCACCAACCGACCCTCTAGCCTCACAGCCCGCGACAACGACTAGCCAGCCCGTGGTCCAGCAGGTTGAAGGCGACTTGAGGCACTTGTTCAAATCCTAGGGCTGCTCGGTATTGACTTTCAGGATCGCAGGTGTATCGATACATAGACTTGTTTGCGCAGGACGGTACTGCTCTCAACGGTCGCCGCGGCGATGGGGAAGAAATCAAGATCGATGCGCGATGAGGGTGAGAACAGCATCTAAAGCCATTGGAACGAATTCATTAGCACCGGTTTACTGATATATTGCTCAATGTTATGGGGTTATAGGCCTCCAGCGGACAGATAATAGCATGGACCTGACCAGCTGGCCTCAGGTTGTCGCTATCAATCAGAAAAATTACTATACGTATGTGCTGGCGAATCCAGGTGCACGCAATCGCGAGATAGATACATTCTCCATTATGCGGCTTGATATTTGACAGGAGCACTCTGGCTAATTCTACCTTGATATCTTATCCAGTGACTACTTGAAACGAGACGACCAATTCCTCGCATACCGGTTACAAAATGAAGAAAACCGAAGTCGCATGGCAAAGGCAGCTAAGGAACGGGATAGGGCCCTTGCTATGTCAAAGCAGAATGAGCTGCCGCTGCCAGAGGAGGAGGCAGACCAGGACACCACCATGGGAGAGGTAGGTAATGAGGAGGAAGAGGCAGTGGCTGGCTCAAAGACCATCGTAGTGCACGTTGGGAGTCAGAATTTGCGCATAGGCCTTGCAAGTGATGCCTTGCCAAAGACTATTCCTATGGTTATAGCGCATAGATCAGAGACGAACGAGTCTGAAGAAAACGGGGGTGAGCCAAAGCCGAAACGCCTGAAAATGGATGACGGAGAGATGATGGAGCCGGAAAAAATGTTTGGACCTGATGTGAGTGACCACCCCATTAGAGACTCCATGCGCAGAGACTGATAAGGTACTTCTCAGTTTGGTACTCTCTATACAAATATGTGCTCTGACCTGAAAGCACGTATGCGCCAAAACAAACGGAGGACTCTACCAAATTCCAAGGAGATGGTGGTAAATTACAACCGACGAACACCGCCAGAAACCATATCCGAGCACAATGATGCAATGAGGGTTGAATGGACTGAAATACCCAGCAATCCTAATCTTGCTCCTCCCTATGTGGTTGGGGAGGCCGCATTGAGGATCCCGGATCTCTCTATACCCCGATATAAGCTTTACTGGCCATTACGGAATGGTTGGTGTAACGAAAAGGACTACAGTAGCATAAACCTGCTGTTTTTGGACATTGCCCGGATATTGGAAGATGCGATGAAAACCCAACTAAACCTGTCACAAACAAAAGACTGGGGTCAATATTCTTGTGTCTTTGTGATACCTGACCTTTACGAAAAGCTGTACGTCACTCAAATACTGGATACCCTTATGCGTGAGCTCGGTTTTGGGCGTGTGTGTTTCGTTCAGGAGAGTTTGGCCGGTACATTCGGTGCTGGGTACACTGCAGCTTGCGTTGTCGATGTTGGTGCGCAAAAGTCGTCGATATGCTGCGTAGAAGAAGGGATGTGTGTTGAAAACTCCCGCGTCAACCTGAAATTCGGCGGATCAGATGTTACGGAAACGTTTATAAAGATGATGCTCTACGACCACTTCCCCTACGAGGAGATCAATCTGAACCGGCGATATGACTTTTTATTGGCGGAGGAACTCAAAAAGAATGTCGCAACCCTTAATGAAACGAATGTTTCTGTGCAGGTGTTCGACTTCCATCTTCGCGTGTCCGGCCAGGACACAAGAAAGTACACATTCAAAGCGTACGATGAGATTATTCTGGCTCCCATGGGCATTTTCCAGCCAGAAATCTTCGATAATTCACAAAAGATGATCGGACGGAGAAAATTTATTAACCGTTCTTTTGATCTATACGACAGACTGCCAAACGACCCTACTTCAACTGCTCAGGCTGAAGTTATAGCCTCTATTTCGCCTCCACCGGCGACAACCAACAATGGAACAAGCAATGAAGGAGCCTTACAGACTAATGGAACAGATCCTCAAGCTACACCTAGCCGCACACAAGCTCATAATGTCTTAGGCCGCGTGCAGGATCTTGACGGGACTCCACGATCTTCCGCAGCTGGATCGCCTACCCCGGACTCCGCAGCAAATCAAAACCCTCAAGGTGGCACCTCGACACCTATCAGGCCTCAAGGCGGTGGTGGGCCTAACGCTCTGCCAACCTCCCAAAACATACCCGTGGTTGAAATGCGGGATGATGTTCTGCCAGTATGGCCTCTTGAAGATGCTGTATTTACCTCTATTTCACACGCAGCTCGTGGTGACCCTCGCAAGTTTAACGACTTCATTGGTGGCATCTTGGTGATCGGGGGCGGCAGTCTTGTTTCCGGCTTCCATGCTTTCCTTGAGGAGCGGATGCAGCTCAAGCATCCCGACCTTGCAAGTCATATCATGGTTGGTACACCACCTCGAGAACTCGACCCACAAGTGGTTGTATGGAAAGGCGCCAGTGTCTTCGGCAAACTGGACGCATCAAATGAGAGCTGGATTGGTCGGCTAGAATATGACCGACTTGGGAGCAGGGTAATGACTTATAAATGTATGTGGCAATGGTAATCCCGGGGTTCTTTTATTGATGCTAGGAAATTATTGTAGAACTTAGATGGTTTATTTGGAATCAATCCTATTAAATTGGTCAATTTAACCAGTCCATCTCTATTGTTTCCTATGACCGCCCCCCAGTTTTTGTTATTAGGTACCCGGATTATGTAATATAGGACACCGGTACCTAGTTTATCCGAAGGCGGTGACTGGCAGAATACCAGCTCCTGCCCGTTCACCGCGACAAAATGCGATGGAAGACGAATAAAGACGACGAGGAGCTTGCCTTTCTTCCTTCAACACACATTTGAACCGATTAGCACGGCTCCTTGAAGACGCAAATTGTAGGTTTTGCAACGAACACTTTTCGACTACACTGCGCTACTGACATCTTCGAAGTTAAAGGTACCAGTCCGTGAACACCAAGTTAACCCTGGCGCAAACCGCATAGGACTAATTTTTCTATTAGAGAGAAAGGACCTATCTTATCATAACACTGCTACATACTCGGGATAGGAAAGATGTCGAAATCAAAGGATAGCGGCCCGTCAGGCAGCTACCATCAAGAGTACATTGCGTCTCTGCGATATCGCAATGATCTCCCTCCGCCTGAGATGCCCCCCAAGTTCCTGGATATCCCTCATGAAGGACTGGATCGTTTCCTAACTGCGGGTTTTGCATCCAATATGGTGCGCCGGGAAGAGCCGAACATTGATGTTGATGCCGAGGGTGGAATGCCAATTGATTTGATTGGCATACCAGGCCTGCATTTGGGAGACGAGAGTGGTATGTTACATCGTTTCCCAACTATGTCACTTCCACGGCTAATTTATATCTCTTTGATACACAGCTATCATGGCTCCTGAAAATCCACCACCAATAGATCCAGCTGACTTGCCCCTTCTCATGACATTGGACCAGCTGAGGAACCCGGCGCCAAAGAATGTGAATGTCAGTTTCCTAAGACGAACGCAGTATATCGCATCTAGTGGAATGGCCCGTGGCATCGATTCAAAAGGATCTGTCTTCATTGGAGGTCCTCGCAAAGGAGTAAAACCGAAGCCAACCCGCGATGATCCTACATACGTTAAGAAGTACATTCAAAAGGGCTTTGATATTGCTTACCCGAAAAGCAAGCACACTGGTCCAGATACCGCAAGCCAGATTCAGGGTCTAACACCAACTAAAGCGGAGCTCGATGCGTGGGCAAATCCAGTTCATCCAGATAATCCAAAACTTAAACCTGTTGGATTTTACCCTGTCATTCCAGATGTGGATGGATTTCCTGATTCCGGTGGATTCTTACAATTCAAGTTTGACAAAACTCCTGTTCCACCAGTCAACGGACAACGTGATGACCGCATGGACATGTCTATACTTATCCCATCATCACCAGAACCAAGGGTCTTGCAACAACATACTTCCAAAACACAACTCCACAAGGCAAACCCAGCCCTCTATCCTGATCCTGGCCCAATCCCTTACGACTATGATCTATACCTCCCACAGAAGCAAAGCTCTACAAAACAAATCCGACGAAGTCTCAATATGACCAACCCCGACCGAGACAGTCCATCAAACTATGCCCATGAAAGCTCATCTGGAGATAAATACCATCACTATGATAGGCTACGAACATATGCAACAAACACTCAAGTTTTGAACACGGAGCATAAGTACAAAGACATTTCCATAGTATTGTTTGATCCAGCCGAGATACCAGAAGGTGAACGTGAGATGTTCCGATTAAACCAAAAAGCCGCATATTATTACCCGATCATCTCAAAAACACGCATAAAGCCAGAACGTTCTCAGAAGATTGCCCGGGCTGGCCTGGCGCCAACCCGAGCTACTGCGAAGGAAGATCAGGTTGATCAGATACAAGTTAAGCTACGTGATCCCATCCCAGAAGAGTCGCACAAACGAGCAGGGCACCGGGCTCAGATTGATTCTAAATACACGAACCCGTTTTCTATCGAGGAACTGGAGAAGGGCCAAAACGAGACTGATGCGCCTGGTGACGAGGAAATGGCTGATAATGACAACGACGACTAAAAAATAAGCACTATAGCCCCAAAATCATACAATCATTTATCATTGATCGTGGCGTTATATAGGCGTTTTCATAGAAGGCACTGAACTAGAACCTTCTTAATCTCTTTTGCTGTTCGCTCGATTTATTTCATCAAACTTTTTACATTGTCTGATCTAATTGTGTAAATGCCTATAGTCAATTAACAGTAAAGGAAGATTGCTGTATTAAGCTCTTCAAGCTATTAGCCACAGGATAGTAGAATAAAATATTATCTTCTTTCAATCCAATGTATGCTATTGATACTGTATGCTTAAATTAATAGAAACACTTTTTTTCGTCATAGTAAAAATGTCAACCAAAACCATATATTTTATTCATCATCGTCATATATAACCTCAAATGCTTTTAAAATTATTCATCAGGTTCGACTGCGTTTGCAATGTCCGAGTTTTCAGGGCCGCTCGCGCTGCTTCCATTATTTGCATTGCTCTGTTCTGTAGCATGGTTGGAATCGTCATTGTTTTCGTCAGGGTTTGATGCGGTACGGTCTCCAGGGGTAGTAGGCCTTGTAGCTCGTTGATTCTGGTGAATCGCCTCAATAAAATGGCGTAAAATCCTCGCCACGCAAATGATCAAGAAACCTCCAAGGAGAAAATTTACGGAAAAATATTGTGATATTCTGAAGCCAGAGTATACGAAACCGGGAGCATCCTCTATGTTCCGACGTGATGAAGAGCCTGATGAATATGTGAATGAGACATCAAATTGGAAAATGGAAAATGAAATACGAAAGGCTGATGGAAGTGCAGTGGCAGTGGCGATGGTAGTGGTAGTAATGTTGGTATTTTCCCCAGATGTTGAGAAGCCAAAGATGGCCAATATCGCAGAGATGAGAGTCGGTAGGAACCATATGCAAAACATGAACATGAATGGAAGAAAAGCCGATATAGGAAAGCCACTTCTGGTACCACTTCGTAATCTTTATATTGTTAATATATCATCATAAAATGACTGTGATACTGCATGAACTTACACTGTCTTGTCTCTTTCTATCTGTCGTACCCAATCGGCACATATTTTTAGCCTGCCACGAACTGTTGTTACCGAGAGCAGGTTGTATTTCTCACTTGAGGCTATTGGAAGCACGGTTCCAAACCAGTAAGGGAATATAGCTGGGTCCGTTGGTGGTTCACCATATCCAGAAAGAAGCCGTTCATTAAGCCAGGACGAACTACTAGAACGGGATTTTGTCACAAACCTATTACAGATTTGAAACAGCTCCTGCGTAGACAGAAAATTCAAACATTTTGGATGTTGGCCTTCTTTAGGGGCTGATAGTTCTTCCGCTTCGATCATCTCCTCGAATGGGATTCGGATATCGTCTATGCGCTTTACGCATCCAATTTTGCATCCATCATAGTCTCTAGAAGACAGAACACGGAATCTGTACAGGCCAGTAGCACGTATCAGAATCCTGCCTCCAGGTAGTGATTCCAGCCGATCAATTTCAAGTAACGTTCCATATTGAGCATGCACACGAGGTTCAGATTGACCGGCTAGCTCACCAGTTTGGTTGAGCATCACTGAGCCAAATCGACGGGTCCCGTTCTCAACAACTCGTAGGATCATTCGCCGGTAACGAGGTTCAAAAACATGCAGATAGGTGGGCATAGATGGAAAAGAAACCGTGCATATAAATAGAGGTAATTCGTCGATTTTGGATGTATCCAGCTGTTCATTTGGCACGCCTCTTAGTTGAGATAACTTTCGCTCCGGGAATATGAAATAACTAAAAGCGTTCAATGTCCCGTTTCCGGGATCGTCTGGTAGTATCATCGGTAAGTTTCTCCGGCATACGGGGCAGAGATTCGAGATATCTAACATCCGAGCCACGCATGATCTGCAAAATGTGTGACCACAGACAGTTGTGTATGGGTCAGTCATTAAAGAGTAACACACTTGACAGTCGAGCTCCTTTACCACCGCCGATCTTATTGCCCTTAGAATTTCCGTATCGAGATCCGTCAAGTTTTCCTGGTCTTGATCATTGAATGTGCACTTTACAGTAGAAGCAACTGGAATATGTCCCTTCGCCATGAGGTTGTATGTTCCAACTAGGCAGCTGCCTTTAATCCAGAATTCTTGACTTGATTCCTCATGGCTGGTCTGTTGGTTAGATATATGAACCTTAATAGGAATATCATGACCCGGATCCCTGTTAGAGGAGTAAGCGGTTGCGTAATTTTCAACTATCTCTACAACCTTGCCGAGGGTGATGTCTCGGTTGCAGTCTGCCAAACAATGCTCAGGTATAAAATCTAAGTCAGATTTCCGAGATTTAGTGCACGCCGAAGGACAGAAAAATCCCTGGCTACGATCCTCAGTTCCAGGGTATGTGATATTGGTTCTAGGGTGTGTCTGTGGTATGCATGGCAGGCAAATTGTGCATCCACATGGCAGCCCTACGGGTACCTTGAGTGGCTTGGAGCAGCTACTACACTGTATCAGCTGGATTAAACCAGTACATATTGTGGTTATGTCCTCCGCTTCCACTTCTTCAACTAAGGCAGCACCGGAGTCACTCATTGAGGCTTCAATGAGGGTAGAGATAACCATAGCCTAGCAGTATATTGGTTTCTTTCGGAACTCCACCGTTTATTGCAGAGTCATCAAGAATGGATTAATTTGGAGAATACTTGTATTTAGCGGTCTTCAAAAGCATCCTCATGACAGAAAGTGGGAAATAACACCCTCATCTTCCAGAGGAATGAGAATTCTTTGAGGGCAGCCACCAACCGGAACTGTGATATCAAAATGACGATGATGCCCAAACACGCTACCAAACGTTGGATTTATATTAAAAGTTCCAGTCACATGACCTTCATCACAGTATAAATGCATTTGCTAGCGGAAAATCCTTACATAATCATCAACTTAGCTCAGTCGCCCTGCTAAACTGGTCACTCCTTCTGGGCTGTGGGGGAAACTTGTGTATCGAAAGGCAAAACGCCATGGTTGATCATGACGATTGATCAATCTCGCTCCCAGATCAACCCAGAAACAGCGACACAGGCGACTCTCCGATGGCCTTTGGTACCAATTAGCTAAAGTCGCATCATACCCCCCATACACAACCGATGCATGAAACGCACTCTCCACTCGAACAGTGAACCCCCCGGGGGCTGCTAGATGGAGACCCATGGCGACATTCCACGACCGAGCAACCTCTGCGACTCCTACGCAATATCGTGTTTTTGGCGATAACAAGCGGTCGTCATCTAGTGCTGATGATGAGTCTGCTGACGGGAGCTGGCACGATGCCGTCTCTGCTACCACGTCGCGACACCCAGGAGGCCTCTCTTCGTCAGGTACCCAGGCTTCACTCAGCGCGAAAAGTGCCTCGTTAGCCCCGTCCAATATCACGCAAGGGAGCTTTAGCTCAGACCTCAGGCATTCAGGTATATCGAGGAATGCGACCCCACGCCCTCCAGAGTCGATTAGCCATGTCCGGGGAAATGGTGCTGGTGAGATTGAAACTGCTACTACGGAACAACGGCAGGCCATTATCCGTGAGCAGATCGAGAAAGAAATAAAGATAAAGACTGGAACGGAAAATATGCTGGAAGCCTTACTGTCGAAGAATATGAAGCAGACAAAGGAGCAGCGCTTAAGGGTGGAGTCGGAGCTCAGTTCTTCGCATCGGAAAATAGCACAGCTTCAGAATGAGCTCGAGGAGGAATTGATGCGGGCCCATATGACGCCGATAGAAGCCCCAGAGGCTAGGAGACTGTCAACATTTTTCAATGCAGGTCCAGGTCGGTCTCCATCGAGAGCAACTACGCATACAACCGGAGAAAGCTTTGAAGCAGAGGATAGCGAGTCAGAGTCACCAACAGTTGTACTTTCTGAGACGCTGCAAGAACTAGAAGCTGAGGGCATGTCATCAGATTATTATGTTGATCGAGCAAACAACCTAGTGGATTTGTTCAAACGATACCCTACTCTGAAATATGACCTGGAATGGTCGGTGTTTGGCCTGAGGGTTCAAGTCATGCTATTGAGTGAGAGTCGTGACGTTGTAGCGGCCGGTTACAGGTTAACACGGCACGCAATTGCAGACAGGAAATCTATCCAGGTGATCAGGGCTCTGCATACGGATGAACTAGTAATGCTCTCTCTTGTCAAGGAATCTAAAGCCAGCATGGAGCGAGAACAGGCCCTTAAATTCGTTCGGGCCTTTCTAGATGTTAAAGATGGTGTTCGAGAGCTCTCACGCTCAGTGGTACGAACACTCGTATCGATTGCAGAGCACCGAGATGACCGTCTGCGTAATATCTGCATAATGACAATTGCTGAACTCCTCGTCAAAGATCCAGCTCTGTTATTCTCTGCTGGCGGTATTGGCACCCTAAATGATGTTCTGGGTGAAGGGACATTTGGCGCATCCGAGAGTTTGGCAGCTGGCTTTGTTCATGTCTTGGATGCCCCGAAAAGCAGGAAATACCTTCGAGCAGGATGTGAATTGAACTCGGTCTTCGCGAACTTCACCGAGACGGTTCCTGATAGTGATCGTCATCTGAAATTGAGGTTTTCCGCGAAGGCTATATCCGCCATGCTAAAAACCTGGCCCGGTATACTAACACTGGCCCAAAACCCTGAGAGACCCCTACAGTCATTACTTCTTTCTTTACAGTTCCCAGACCCCCAGTCTAGAGATCTCATTCTAGAACTACTATTCGACGCTCTCCGCATCAAACCACCGTCATGGTCATCATCATTTCTGGCTGGAAGGCGGCTCACGACATATGGCCGAGTAGCCAACATGAAGTCAGAACAAGACAAAAAGCAATCCCGCACCGTCTATGAGGATGAGGATAATCCATTTGACCTAACAGCGCACTTCTCCGGACTCATACTAGCGTTATTGGTGGAGGCAGGATTGATCAATGTTTGTCTTTTGCAACCACGTGTATAGAAAAAGCGCTAACCAGAATGACTAGGTGCTATCTGATTTGATTGACGACGAGTCCGATCTTTCTCTTAAACGGAAAACAACTTTACTCCTTGTAGAGGTTCTAAGACGTGCTCAGCGCAGCTTACCCTCATCTATGTGTTCCAATCTTCATCTTCTCCCCAGCCTTCTCCCATCGTCGTCACCAATAAAGGCAAGGTCGGACAACCAACATCTTTCAACATCGACTATATACCAAATGGAGAGCATTAGTCGGACAATGACGAGGTCTGATGATATATCAGATGTAAGCGGTCGGTATTCTGTCAGTACCGAGATCCCAAACTCCTTGCTTCCGGGGGAACAGAGCAAATCCAAACTCAGTTCCACTATGGATGAAACACAGTTCCGTACCGCAATTCTGGATACCAACGTCCTCAGTTCCGTGAACTTTATGAAGTGGAAATGGGACCTTATCCTAAACATTATTGAAGGGCCACTAACAAACCCAAAACGTTTGGATGAAGCCATCAAAGGCTCCAAGTTCATAAAGCGACTGGTTGGTTTCTATAGGCCCTTTAAGTATCGGTTTTCAATGGTTCGCAACACGAAGCCTAATCGACGGTACATCCGAACCGGCTGTGCCTTGATGCGTTGTCTTGTGCAAAGCCCGGAGGGATCAAAATACCTAGCACAGAATAAGCTTCTGCGCCAGATAGCAGAGTGCTTGGCCCAAGTTGACCGTATGAGCGGGCTGACTTCTTTGTCGCCATTGTTTTCCCGAGAACAGATGGCTGATACTCTAAGTGGTGGATACTTTGCGCTATTGGGAACTCTGAGCAGTGAACCCAGCGGCATACAGATGATGGAAAGATGGCATATGCTCAACATGTTTTATCACATAGTTGAATTAGCGGATCGGAATGACCTCATCCAAACCCTTCTTGGAAACATGGACTTCACACATGAAAGCCATTTAAGAGTAATACTTTCAAAGGCCCTCACCACAGGATCAAAGGATATCCGTATTTTCTCCACAAAGCTGCTACGAAAATACGTCATTGGCAAAGTGCTGCAAGGATCGCCTGTTGAATGGGTAATTGAACTTCTGGTGACCCAGCTATATGACCCGGATGTCACTGTCTGCCAGGTTGCCGTCAAGATACTGGAAGAAGCATGCAACCAGAGAGATTATCTAGAGTATGTCGTCAAATGCCGCCCGTCTTTAGATCATTTAGGCGAAATCGGCGCCCCATTGCTACTCCGTTTCCTATCTACATCGGTCGGGTACCACTACCTTGACGGCCTCGACTACATCACCCAGGAGATGGATGACTGGTTTCTAGGAAGAAACGATGCATACGTTGGGCTAGTAGAAGCCTCACTGTCACGCGCGTACATTGACCAACCACGTCGAAACAGCTTAGCGCTAAACGATATAGTTGAGATGCAAGATATTGGCCTTGTGCCACCGCATTTTTACCGAGAACTTGCACGTACAACAGAAGGATGCAAGCTACTGGAGCAGTCTGGCCATTTCTATGAATTTGCTTCAACAGTACGAGACTTTCAACTGGACGAAGAAGATGCAGAGGTCTTACTAAAGGTTAAGGGGGCGCTATGGGCTATCGGGAATGTAGGCTCGATGGAGCTCAGTGCACCGTTTTTAGAAGAGACGGATATTGTGGAAAGGATAGTGGAAATAGCGGAAACTGCAGCCGTCATGACCATGCGTGGCACCGCGTTCTTTGTTTTGGGACTAGTATCCAGGAGTCAGCACGGCCTTGAAATGTTAATTGAGGCAGGGTGGGATGCGGCCGTTGACCAAAGAGGGCGTTCATTAGGATCATGCATGCCATTGAACCTAAGCAAGCTATATTCGGTGGGTTATATTCAGCAACAAAACTTTTTGATAATCAGCTACTAACGTGTTCTAGGTTAAATTCGAGCCATACCATGTTTGTACCGAGGAAGACAAGGCAGCGAGAAACAGATACAAAGTTGCTTCCAAGGACTCTGATCCGCTCAAGCAAAAGATACTCGGCCTTATCATTGATATGGGGAATACTGTTCTTGCTAAAAAAGCGGCGGCAGATCTACAAGTGTATGTTTACCCATCCATGCAGCTTGCTCTGGCAGGGTACTAATATGTTCCACTATGGCAGCCTTAAAACGAATCGTCCTGAATGCTTTCGGCGTATCGATCTTTTTGAAAAGACCCTTGTTATCCTAGAGAGCCATCACTTCCGGTTATCCGCGCGACGTTTCGCGCTAGAGTTGTTTGACAAGAGCGTGGTTAGGCGAATCATCTTTGGGGATGAGTCCGTCTCCGATTCTGAAATGTCAGAGTAGAGCATTGCATCTTTCTTTCCTCTGTCATTTCTCTTCGTTTGTCTCTTATTTCTTCCATGGTCTAAAGTATCCCCAGCGTGAAGATCTACTGGTGTTTTTGGTGCTATCTGTGATTCATGCATGTCCTCTTTTCGCACAGGAGCAGGCTTCGGGATTTCAATGCAGTTGATACAATATAGTGTAGGATGTCCTGGAATAAACACTTCTCGTTTCCCTTACCTTGCTCTCAGAGGAGCTTCCTTGCCCTTGTTCGCCCTATGTTGTCTATAGATAGCCAGTAACTCCTCTTACTATCACCAACATGCAACGAAGGCGCTCTCCTTTCATCCCCAACTCTTGGTATCAAACTCGACGCCACAAGATACGCTAAGGTCTGGGGCCAACAACCGGCGCCGACGCCTCCGCGGCGATCGCCAGGTGAGCGGCCATCGGAGCTGGCCGACAACTAGCTGGCAGAGCTCTTGCATGCTTAGAATCCCTGCGACAGCTCGAAATCAGGCCAGTTTTCCGGGCTGTTGATGGAGCAGTGCATGGCTCCCTTTGCTAAAGTGTCTGATAGCAGGCAAATAGTTAGTTAGATAGCTATGTAACTATCAAGGGACCTCATAATTATTTTGTACAAGTAGTTAACAGTTCAGCTCACTGATTAACTAGTAACTAGTCCCCTCCTAGCCACCGGCTTGACCAGGGGCGTTGCTGAGGCCGAAAGCTCAACGCTCAGCGGAGAACGGAGCTTGGAGCAGGGCTGCCCCGTTACCAGCGGAACCAGCCGCCATCATTGCCTTGTGCAGAAGCCTGTGCTGGGTTTCAACCTCAGGCCTGCGAAGCTGCGGGCCTAAGTCTTAGCTAGTTATAGGCCAATGCCGCCAATCGTCCTGTGCATGGCTCATGTATAAATATGGGGGATCTCCCGTACCTCGGGGGTCTATGTCTGTAGCCAACTAGAAATATATCCAGTTGATATTACTCCCTCTCCCCTGAAGCCCCAGCTATATTCGCCCATCGTCGCTCAGCCCCAGAATTAGTTATACACGGACGTTATTGAAAGATGGCGTCCAGGTTAGCCGCAGCTCGCTATGGCAAGGAGAATGTTCGTGTGTACAAGGTACACCGGGACGAGGCTGCAGGGACTCAGACGGTGGTCGAGATGACCGTCCGTTGCCTGCTCGAGGGCGATATCGATGTCTCGTATGTATCTCGCAAGCTACCAAGTTAAGCGGAGAATTAAGTACGGTGGACCTGACCGCGGCATAACTACCAGGTACACCAAGGCAGACAACAGCGTCGTGGTAGCGACGGACTCGATAAAGAATACCATCTATATCCTGGCAAAACAGAATCCGGTGACTCCGCCGGAGCTCTTTGCTTCAATCGTGGGAGACCATTTCACGCAGAAGTACAGCCATATCCGTGTAGCGCATGTCAATGTAGTGGCACAGCGGTGGTCCCGGATGAGCATCAAGGGCAAACCACATCCGCATTCCTTCCTCAAAGACGCCTCGGAGGTCCGGTCTACAGACGTCACCGTTACCAAGGGCAAGGGGATCGATATCAAGACGTCTTTGTCTGGCCTCTCCGTCTTGAAGAGCACCAATTCGCAGTTCCATGGCTTCGTGAGGGACGAGTTCACTACTCTACCCGAAACCTGGGACCGAATCCTTAGCACAGATGTCGATTCGGCATGGACATGGTCAACATTCTCAAACCTGGAGCAAGTGCAGGGTACGGCGGCCAAGTTTGACTCTACCTGGGAAGCCTCGCGCGGCATCATACTGGATATCTTCAGCAGTGACAACAGTGCGAGTGTCCAGAATACCATGTATAAGATGGGAGAGCAGATACTGGCTGCCCAGCCGCTCCTAGAGACGGCCGAGCTCAGCCTGCCCAACAAGCATTACTTCCAGCTTGGTAAGATAGACCTTTTGGACATTTGCCGGTATAGAAGATTTGCTGACTAGCTTAATACAGATCTGGGTTGGCATAAGGGCCTGAAGAACACTGGCAAAGACGCTGAAGTTTACCTGCCGGGCTCTGGCGCCAGTGGCCTTATCAAGTGCACCGTTGGACGAGAGGGTGTCAAAGAGAAGTCAAAGCTGTAAAATTTTATCCTTTGGAGTACATGCACGTACAATATATATCCAGTAGCTGACAGATTCCTGGACGTCTCTCTCAGATAGATTGTGAGCACTATCTTGGTAATAAATCCATGGTGATATCAATCCGTATACTTATGGTACATAAAGTCTCATCAAAAATATCTCCTTGATCCCTGACAAAGGGGAAGGATAGTAGTATAGTAATACAAGAAAAAGGCCCAACAAATGACTCCGTGCGTATGCGCTCTACAAGGGGAAAGAGAAAAGAAGAGGATATCAAACGTGGCTAATGTGAGAGAGCTTCGGTTTTCGCATTCTGTAGTGCCTCACGCACTTCAGGAATGTCTGTAATAGACGTATTTTGTCCGTTGAGTTTGACAATATTCTCTTTATACGGATGCTCAAATCCTTCGAAAGCTATTTCAACGATTAAGTTAGCAGCGTTCGTATATAATCAACACCAAAAGCAGCCAATGTGCAAGTAGAGAACGGTACCGACCTTTCAATCGAGCCATTCTCTTCTCTCGTAGTCTATTTTTTGGCAGCATTCCTTTGACAGCCTTTCTCAGAACCTCGGCGCCTCCCCATTTCTCGATCATCTGGTCCATAGACATCGACTTCAAACTTCCCGGTCTGGTGTTGTGTGTATAGTACAGCTTTTGGGCTCTCTTCTTTCCCGTAGTACGAAGATTGCGGCATCCGAGAGCAACGACATAATCACCACAGTCTGTAGATGGATCGTAGATCGGTTTATGTTTCCCCATCAGGAACATCGCGATGGACGAGGCCACTCGGCCCAGACTTCGGGGGTCAGATCCGATATCGATGGCATGCCATGTTCGAGAATACGCCAGACGCGTCTTCAAAGTAACCAGTTAGCCTGATATAAACAGCCATTGCAGCTTCAATTGACCCGAGTTCGAGATCGTAAGACGTACTTTTCCAATCGTTTGAGACATGGCTAACAGCACACTTTGCGGCCTGGTAAAAAGCAGATTTCTTCACTTCCGACGGATAACAGCCAGCCGAGCAGCGCTATTCAGGCCAGCAAATATCCTTTGTTATCACTCCTCGTCGCCGATTGTGTCGCTGTTCCTCATCAACCTGCACCGTCGCTGACTTCTTCTCCCCCAGCGAAGCTTCTGCTTCAACCAAAAAAGTTCTTATATCACGTGACTCTACCCTAAATCCCCACTAAGCGAACTCCCACACCTTGAAACTTTCAATATCGACAATTTTCAACTCACAGCGATCGCGACGGTGAACGAGCAGACAACTTTTCGCTTTTTTCCACCGTATCCCGCACGTCGAACGCTGCCATCACATTCATCATGGCCAGTACTCCCAGCGTGCAATGCTTCGGCAAGAAGAAGACGGGTATGTACATTTTTTTCGAAGCCAGTCTATTGAAGGAAAAAATACCCAAGAGATGTGAATGCTAATAATTCTTCGCACAATATAGCTACCGCTGTCGCCCACTGCAAGGTACGAATTAGACGTTGACGGACGATACTGAAAGACGGTTTCCGGACATATCGCTAATTTTTCAAACAGCAAGGCAAGGGCCTCATCAAGGTCAACGGCCAGCCGCTCGCGCTCGTTAAGCCAGAGCTCCTCAAGTTCAAGGTACGGAAACCTCTACATATGGGACTTCTGCGAAATGGAGATAGATAGGAAGATCACCTTGGATCAAAATAAATATAGAGGAAGGAAAATTCAAAATACCAATCGGAGATGGAATTCGCATTGAAGATACCAAGAAGTGTGCGGCGGCAATTGAATATCGGATTTTCTAACTCGCTCCAACACAGGTCTACGAACCTATTCTCATCGTCGGCCTTGACAAATTCGCCGGTGTCGATATCCGTGTCCGCGTCACCGGTGGTGGTCACACTTCCCAGATCTATGCTATCAGACAAGCCATTGCCAAGTCGATAGTCGCCTACTACCAGAAATTCGTTGACGAACACTCCAAGAACCAGCTCAAGCAAGCCCTTGTTCAGTACGACCGAACCCTCCTCGTTGCCGATAACAGACGTTGCGAGCCAAAGGTTTTCGGTGGTCCCGGTGCCCGTGCCAGATACCAGAAATCTTACCGTTAAACGACATGGAAATGGACGGGTTTATGGGGGCGGGGTGTTTTGTTGGGCGCAGTATTTGTGGGATTTTTTTATCTGCTTGTATCTGCCCCATAATGGTTGATGTTAAAAATGTGCTCCAGCATACGGGAAATGCCTGGGACATAGAATAAATAGGCCAGATTATTGCCCTAAATTATTAAATCCTACTTTTTCACTTGTTCAAGGATATCCAACTTGCATACCAGAGGATATGCGAGAGTCATGGAAAATTCGGGTTGACTGATAAGTATTGGGCTCTTTGCATCATTTTGTGAAGCTACATGCGTTGGTCCAACATAATCATATCCTCGACATCCTCGACATCCTCAGCTTCAGGCTCTCCAGCTTCTTCGAGGTCAACAATTACCGGAGCATAATCACCCGTTTCATCCTCTTCTTCAGCACCGTTGACCTCCAGTTCGACTTGCTCTCCGTCTTCCAATTCGACCATACCCCTTCGCACCGTTGACTCCTTTGCCAGCTCCCACCCGTATTCTTCGTTTGCCCATTTCTCCAGATTGATAAACTCTGCCTTCACTGCCGATATATCAGCAGTCAAATCATCGTATATTATCCTCCTAAACTTCATCAATATCTTTTTCACAATGGTATTGCCATCGTCTCCATCCATCTCCAACAGACCTCCCTCGACATCGTCATTATGCGCTAGCTGTAGCTTCAGGAGACGCAGGACCTCTATAAAGAAGCTTTGTCTTTCCTCGACGGCCTTTTGACATGTGAATATCAACTGTATTAATCTCATCCATTGCTCTTGGCAGGAGAAATTTATCAATGTCAGTGCAGTGAGAAATGTAATCTGCAGTTCACCTAGAATCTGCAACTCTCCCTCGCTCAGGCTGTCCTCACTAATAATTCTTCCTGTGGCTCTGCTATTGTATGTAGCCCATTCGCATATATTTCCCAGTGCCCATGAGCGATCCCGAGCTGCTTCTGTTCGTTCAGGTCCCACAGCCCCAGGTGGCCAAGTATTCTTCAAATCGACCGGCAAGAATCGTAGCTCCTTTTCGTCTTCTACCAAATTACCGCGCATTTGGGTATCCGCTTGCCTAGCAAGGCCAGGTATCTTGTCACTATCTCTCGCAGCCGAGCTTCCAGAAGAAATTGTCCACCTAGATCTCTCTTCAGAATCCAGCTCCGCGCGACCCAGTATTCGCTCTAAAACTGACGGAGTTATGTAGCCTGAAAGGCTATTCCATTCGCAATGTGCAAGTGTGGTATCAGTGGTTTCTTCTTGGTTGTCCTTGTTCGTTCGAGACTTATATGACAGTAGCCCACCAGCAGCCCATATTTGACTGAGGTTAGCCCGCTGCTGCATTGCAAGTTGCCTCCCTTCATCTTTACTTTCGTCTACCAAAGCCAGTAACTCTGTGGACTTGTCCCAATGCCTCAGCCGAACATCGATACCTGAACCAGTCTGTTCACCCTCATTGGGATCTGGGACTGTAAACCATTCTCCGCTTCGCAATGAAAAACTGTCAGTTGTGCCTGTGTAAAGTATGTGTACTCCAGGCGGGAGTTCTTTTATGCCATGGAAGTTTGGAGCTGAGGTGAAAGCCAAGAGGTCGACTCCCACCAGCGTTTTGGCGGGGAGGTTATCGATCAGTATCGTAGGCGAGGGATGAAGAGACTCGGACATGAGATGCAGGTACACAATGCGACCTTAAAATGCGAAAGGTTGATATAAATATATAGGTCCCGAAGATCGCGGAGTGGTAGGTGTAGTCTCTTAGAAAATGTTGCGACTAGAGTTTCTACCAGCTCGATATATTCCTGCTATGGAGACACCCAACTAGCCAAATATTCAAACCGAGGTGAAAGCACAAGTTTTACAAGCCCAATAATCAATCTACGATTTACAGTCCGGAGTATTGTTTGAAGCTGCTCAATCTTCACTTGCATTTTATAGATATATTTTGCAATATCGCTAGGATCTGCAAAGGCTAGACGAGCAGAGTTGAAAAAGGGGAAATTTTTAGAAGACCAGGCGATAAAGGCCGTTCTTCGCGTTTATTCCATCCACAGAACAAAAGAAAGAGATACCGTGAGATATTCTCCAGTTGTTTCCATCCTTTTTGTTCCCAATCGCCATTGATACCAACCGTAGAGAGATTGGATAAGGAGATAAAAGGCTGTAAATATTTACAAACGACGACCTCTGCGACCACCCTTGCGACGAGTAGAGTCGGATGGGGTAGGGGTGACGTCCTCGATACGGCCAATTCTCATACCGGAACGGGCAAGAGCACGGAGGGCAGACTGAGCACCGGGGCCGGGAGTCTTGGTTCCGTTACCTGTGAATAAAGTAAGATTCTGCACCTCCGCTGGTCGGGACTGTGTTGATATATTGCTATACGTACCACCAGTAGCACGGATCTTGATATGGAGGGCGTTGATGCCAAGCTCCTTGCAGCGGGCAGCGACATCCTGAGCAGCCAACATAGCAGCGTAAGGAGAGGATTCGTCACGGTCAGCCTTGACCTTCATTCCACCAGTAACACGGCAAATGGTTTCGCGACCACTTCATATAGAATTATCAGCTCCTTATCTCTTATTAGATTTGACCCCGATTGCGATATCCAAGACGCATTCGACACAGCACTCAAGTTGCGAAAATTGGTTCAGGTGATATACGGACCTGAGATCGGTAACGTGGACGAAGGTATCGTTGAAAGAGGCGAAGATACGGGCAACGCCGAAAACGTTCTCGCCTGGGTAGAGATATAGTTAGCGACCAATTTCTTGACGAGTGCTGCAAGTGTGCTGAGATGGGCAATCGTACCATCACCGGTGAGAGGTCCGAGGGACACGTTCTCGTTGGCGGGCTTAGCGTCGGTCTTCTTCTTTGGTGCCATTGTGAATGATGCGATGGTTCGAGGATGTTGTGGATGGTACAAAAAGAGAAGAAGAAGATCAGAAAAGAACGACCAAATCTCAAAAAAAAGCATCAAGTAACATACAAATTAGGGCTTAAGTGGGTGTGCCCTAGTCACATGATTGTAAACCCAGTGACTCATCATTCCTGGATTATGTAATAAATTAAGATCAGAAACTGCCCAAATATTTTTTATTTTTCCCTTTGGCCACTTTTCTTTCTTTTCTCAACCGCAGCTTCAAGTTGGATCGAGAGGAAGCAAAACGTTGAACTTCCCTCGCCGGGGAAGGGGATTGATAAATAAGCAGACTTGGCCTACTGGTTTACAAGTCAGAAAGAGCTGTCGCGGATATCTCGATACTAATTGCCAGAAACTACCGCAAAGCAGGCCTTTTACAATGGCGGTAGCCAACAGAGACAATAGGTCCATTGGGATCATTGGAATGGGCGACATGGGCCGGATGTATGCCCAGCGACTGAGTGAGGCTGGCTGGAGGTAAATCTCAACTATTTTGAGCTCTCTCTTTCCCACTTATATTTTAATTGGTAAGATACTCCTGACCTTTTTTCTTCCCGTCCGCGATACACCCACTTTTCTGATGACATGAGCGCATTTGGCTCGAGCATGGTAATGGAACCCTCCTACCACTATTCTTGTGGCTGGAATCTGTTCGTTGCCGTCACTGATGTAAACATCCTGCTACCTTACAATTATTTTGTCTGAAAATGTTTCCCTGCCCATTCTCATACCAACGTCAATATCTCTCTAAAATGGATATGTACTAATTGGCGAGACAGACCTCAGGATTACTAGCTATATCATACCACCCGCTAATATACGTTCGTGACATAGAATTAACGCTTGTGACAAGCCAACCAGCTATGAAAAACTGAGAAAGGAGTTTGCAAATGATGTACGTCAGCTGCTGCTCCCATCCAAGTTCAAACCATTTTCCTCCTTTATATATTCTTAGTTTTTAATCTATGGTATTTTTCTATACCCCACGTAGACCAATATCAATATACTTCCCAATGGGCACCTCGTTTCCCGAATAAGCGACTACATCATCTACAGCGTAGAGGCGAAGGTCATTGCATCTGTTGTTGAAGAATATGGACCGTGTATGTCCCTGTCCCAAAAAATAAGAGTTATCTCCTTTACAGGAATTATCTGACCAGTATTTGAATTAAAGCTACAAAGATTGGAGCGATTGTAGGAGGCCAGACCTCTTGCAAGGCCCCTGAGCTTGAAGCCTTTGAGAAGTATCTCCCCAGTGATGTGGAGATATTATCGTGCCACTCACTCCATGGACCAAATGTCAACCCCAAGGGCCAGCCGTTGGTAAATCCGACTCAACCCCATTGATTCGGCCAGATACCTAGCTAATGCGTAATCATTAGGTCCTGATTCAACATAGGGCATCAAACCAAAGCTTGAAGTTCGTTGAAGAGATCTTCAGGTCCTTCCAATCCACATACGTCTATCTCAGTGGAGAAATGCATGATCGGATTACCGCAGATACCCAAGCAGTCACGCACGCTGCGTTTCTGAGCATGGGAACAGCATGGCATGCAAACAGCCAATTCCCATGGGAAGTTCCCCGTTATGTTGGAGGGATTGAGAACGTTAAAATCAACATCACACTGAGAATATATGCAAACAAATGGCACGTGTATGCTGGTCTTGCCATTCTCAACCCTGCTGCCAAAAAGCAGATCAGACAGTATGCGGAATCAGTAACGGAGCTGTATAAGCTGATGTTGGGTGGCCACCGGGAAGAGTTGACAAAGAGAATCAAGACTGCTAGAGCTGCCGTGTTCAAGAGCAATTCAGCAAGGCAAGATCTATTACTCCAAGACAACGTCCTTGATAGATTTTCTCTATCAAAAGGAGGCACAGAGAGGATGCCGAATAATCACCTAAGCCTACTTGCCATCGTCGATTGCTGGTGGAAACTAGGGATAGTCCCCTATGACCATATGATTTGTTCAACTCCTGTTAGTCTGACCCCTTCGCTTGCTTTTGATATAATTTTACTGAAGTTGAGAACAACAGCTCTTCCGTCTCTGGCTAGGAGTTACAGAGTACTTGTTTCAGAACGAAGAACTTCTAGACGAAGTGATTGACACCGCTATAGAGGACAACACATTCCGCTCTGATGACCTTGAATTTACCTTTGCAGCTCGAGTCAGTTAATACGGACCTCCCTCTTGGCCCGCTGTAACTTTTGTGGCCTTAAATAGGGCAATAGATAGCTAACAAGGCCTTTTCCCACAGGCATGGTCGGAATGCGTATCCTTTGGAGACTTTGAGTCGTACCGTGACAGGTTTGAGAAGATACAGTCTTACTTTGCTCCTAGATTCCCTGAAGCAGTCCGCGTTGGCAATGAGATGATGAAGACCATCTTGGAAAAAACGTCAAAGCCATCCTGAGCCGCGACTGTGTTTGAAGACAAGGTAACAGGATCCACAGACGGCGAATGGCGCAGTGATGTGCAAACGCAGCTTTTTTCCTACCAATTCCTTGGCCATGGCTGAATGATGCGCAGTCATAGCCAAGCGCGTGGCATTTCTCTTCTCCAGTCTGGGTATACAGAAGGTTTGCTGGGCACGGGGAATCCATGTTTCAATCTTCGTGTGCCGTCAGAAATGTCTGGCCACCTTGACTCTCGTAGCTTGGCCTACCGTTTCTTTTCCAGCCCGGCATAGCATCATAGAATCCTAGAAGTGCAATAAGCCCTTGACATAGCCCTCTTTGCTTTAGCGTTTGCGGAGTTCTTTTCCATTGTGTTTTTGACATCTCTTTTTGCAGATAGTAATGACAACCGGTATGGACCAATTTGGATATCGCCTTGGGTTACCCAACTCTTCACCGGTAGCAAACTCCAAGAACGATTCCTCACCATCGCCCGAGCTGCCGGCTGACACCATACTGCATGCAGCATTCGAATAGATCTCACTACTGGCACATACACCATACATCTCTCCAATTTTAGCTAGGCCTGTAGGGTGGTATTCTCGTCAGCATGACAAATCTGGGCACAAACTTGGCTTTGACATGCTACATGCATCTTCTCTGCGATCAATTTTTTTTTTTTTTTTTTTTTTTTTTGCATTTTCGTCATTTGAGAACCGGTCTCTTGCTTACTTTGAACCCTTATTGAAGCCTGGTACTCTTGGTATGACCGTTGGCTGTGTGTAGTTCAAATGCCAAAGTCCAAGAAAGGATCAGCGGGCCCTCCGTCAGCGAATATCGAGGAGTCGAGGAGGCTGTGTTACCAGCAGGAGGATCCTGGGGGAACAGCGCAAGGCCCCAGCTGCTTATTTCTGCTTCTTTCTTTGCTTTGCGTTTCTTTTTGTCTTCCTGATGCTGTAGCCAGTCGGCATGCTGAACTATTTATTATTATTAGTCGAGCCCAGAACGACATGCATGGTTACCAATGAAGTGGCCTGTCCTTGTATCACTCAGGTTGATTCCTCATAGCCCCAAACTTTGCGACTCGGAGCCCAACCGCCAAATGGAGTAAAGAGGAAGAGGAGGATGAAGAAGAAGAAGAAGCATGCGAAGGCGTTACTCCCCAGGTTTGGGTTATGACCAAGATGTTCGGTCTTCACTGCCCGGCTCGCTCAAAGGACGGACGACCGCTGGGCTTTTGCGAAACTTCGTTCCAGTCTGGCGCCGCCTGTATGTCGGTCGAGAGCGAACCATAAGACAAGAATCGAGGTCACCATTCATTAACCGGGTTGGCTGGCCAAGGGGACTATCACACTAGACTGAGGACTGTGGGCGGTTAGAACAACTCCTGGATCCCTGAAGAACGCCTTCAGGGACTTCAAATGCAAACGGCTCGTGTTTCATTGCAAGGGGCGAACCAAATCTCTGATCCCGCCCATCCACACACACACTCGCATCCAAGGCCTGTCAGAGAATTGGAGGCAGTCAGCAAATCAGACCTGCTCACCTTAAATCTCAAGGCATGGTTAGTTACTTGTTAACAAGGCTACTGAATATATCCTGTCTTTTGTACCTGAGCCGCCGACCCTTTCCATGTTCCCTGTGAGAAAAAAGAAGCGCCTTGATTGATATTCAAGAAACCCATGCAAAGACACACGCGTCTCATGCAATCTGCTACGAGAAAGGGATCTGCTAACCGAACCCGTCAGAAGCATTCAGTTGATAGGGAGGGTGTGAAGACCCCAGGAGAAGAAGTGCTGCGATGTTTAGACACAAGAGGCCTATCATGTCCCCTCGCTATATAGAGGCGGATCATGTACGTTCGCTAGCAAGCACCAACTTCGGGACGCAGTCTTTTCGGGACACGGTTTGTCGAGTTAGCCCTTGGGTAGCGCAGGGGTTTCTTGATCAAGCCGTCCTCTCTTCTCCAGTCTGACCAAATGACGTGTGGTCATTGGTTTGAGCGTCCCGTTGGCCGGTCTGACGGACTGTGGGGAGAGACGGGTCGATGGAGCACGCTACAACCATTAGATATCATAAGACGATCTAAAGCTGATCAAACAACTAACAAGCGATGTATACCAGATGTACACTGGCCGTCCCGAGAGTCATGAAGGACCGCAAGGGTCGCAGCTCTCGAGGGGATGAGGCTGCGCCCTAGGACTTGCGTATACTTCGCTAGTTACGGAGTAGTTATGTACATGGCTGTCGATCCAGGCTGGCAGTGCAACGATGGCAGCAAGTCTCTTGGGATGGGATGACGGACGCCCCTGACTCGGCCCACGACAGTCAGGCAGGCTGACTCCCTTGAGAAGCCGCTGCAGTAATTGGATGTGACCGCCGGATGGACAAGCGCCATCAAGGGTGTCACTGAGTTTCTTTTGCTTTTTTGCAGAACTTAACCCTGTTAGCTTGTGTATAGACCTTCTTTATCCGAGCTGAGGGCGAAGTTTGTCTTTGGGCCGGTCCCCTGTTACGAGTTTCAAAGGAAATCGGAGAGTATTAGCTAGATAATTTGTTGGCAATATAAGAAATATATATATATATATATATCGGGATGGTCCTGTCTCCTGGCTGGGCTTGAGGCCTTGAGAAAAACACCAACTTCCACAAGCAGCTGCTGAGGCGCTGATATTTTCAAACCAGGTTTGAAAAAGAGACGACCGTATATACCGCGATGAAGTTCCAGTCCCTTCTTGCAGGAGCAGCCTGCCTTCTGCCAGCCGGTAAGTCCAGCGAGGCTGGTGCATTCCATGTACTCCATAAGTCACAAGTGACCCCCATACTGACGCTGTGGACAGTGTCCCTGGTGGACGCCGCAAAGACCGCCCAATTCAGACCCCCGAACGGAGGAGACGTTAGATTCCGGGTGAATATACCCACATCCACAGCCGCGACGAAGAAAGGATCGATTTACTTCCAGATCCGAGCACCGAGCAGCGTAGAATGGGTTGGACTAGGCCAGGGCAGCGAAATGACCGGCTCAAACATCTTCATGTTATACTCGGCAGCAACTCCCAGCAATGTCACACTCTCTCCCCGAGCAGGACTCGGAGAGTTCATGCCGGAACACAACTCCCGGGCACAGGTCACCCTTCTCAATGGCAGTGGCATCACTGAGGGACGTATGGTGGCCAATGTTCGCTGCGACAACTGCTTGAAGTGGGAAGGGGGAAGCATGGATCCAACAGACGCAGCTAGTTCGTGGATCTGGGCTGTCAAACTGGGTGCATCTATCAAGTCGAATGATGTTGCAAAGAGTTTGATGATACATGACAACATGGGAGCGTTCAACTTGGATTTGACCCAGGCCGTGGGAGATGACGAGGACGGCAACCCGTTTGGCTCTGATAACGCGAATACCCCTGACTCAGGCTCGGCTGGTACAGTGGTGTCTGATGGAGGACGCATTGCGAGACGGTCTGCCCATGGACTGATCATGTCGATTCTCTTCTTGCTGATGTTCCCGTCTTTTGCTCTAACTCTGCATCTTGTTCCCAGCAAGAACACCGTTACTCACATCCACGCCCCTCTCCAGATAGTCTCGCTCATTGCTGCGGTTGTCGGATTCTCCCTTGGAATCAGCCTGGCCAGAGACCTGAACAAGATCAACTCCACCCACGCCGTCATAGGCATCATCATCATGACCTGGGTCATTCTCCTGCAGCCTGCGCTGGGTCTGCTTCAGCACCTTCATTTCAAGAAGACCGGCACTCGCGCTGTTCACGGCATTCTCCATGCCTGGCTGGGACGATGCGTGTTTATCCTTGCTGTCATCAACGGTGGACTAGGACTGAGGCTCAGTGGAATAGGAAACCCCGGTGTCCCTCGAGCCGGTGTCATTGCATACTGCATCATAGCAGCTATAATGGCGGCTGTTTACATCTCAGTCGTTCTGTTTATGTCGAAGAAGCCCAAGCCAGCAGCCACCACCATTGGAACCAATCAAGAGGTGAAAGGAAGTGCAGTTGAGCTTGTCGATAGGTATTGAAAGAGCTGGACAATGACCGTGTTAGATTGAAGGCAGTTTCACCTCCGGGGGCTGGGAGATCCCTTTTTATGCACGCCGTGGTTATGGAGCGAGAAAGGCTGGAGTCACACAGACGGCGAGAATGCAAGCCGTGATAGGTTGAAGGAGACACCTTCACAGCTCCGGGCCTCGCAATCCACTTAGCCAGAGCTGGCTGAGTTGAGGACGAGTATATATGGCTATACATGGGAATATGTGTGCCTTTTTGGATGGGAGATGTCCCGGATGAGAAGCAGGGTTGAAGTCCCAATTACCATTTGATAACCAAAGAAAATATTGATGGAGCAGAATGCCAGACATGAATATCACAGCAGAGATGCTAAATGCCAGGGTAAAGTAAGAATACATACAGGGTATCAAACAAAATTTAAAATAGAGAATTTTTGGATGAATGGGTTAAGAATTGAATAAGGATAAAATGGGCAAGGAGCGTGCAAATATTTGATACCCTCGTCCTGACTCCTAGACGGCAATGGTGTTGTTTCGGCCAGCTGATTCTATCTCCCAGAGGCCCATTGCCTTCCATTTCGTCCTGGTTATCTGATTCCTCTTCAGAGTCGTCGAGATGGAGCATCTGGAACCGATTGGCCATGGGGTTCAATGGTTTAGCTGTTGGACGCGATGGGCCCCTGGCGTGAACTTCTTTAATTTTGGGAAGAGGATCGGCACATTCATCATGGTAATATTCGATCCTCATGATACGGTATGGCATGCGAGACATCATGCAGTTACGGGCAAAAGTGGCCTTTTGAACAGAGTTGGTGGAAATGTAGACGTTCCCGTGGTTGAATGAGAGGCTGACGATGATGAGGTTATGAATATGCTTCATGTCCTCGCGTATCATGGCCTCGGTGACGTTTGGATGCACGCCGCGGATGATGAGGTTGCGGGAGGCTCCGTTGGTCATTTGAGATGCAAGATATGATGACAGTGAGTACTGGCGCTCAGCCCAGGATACATCAACCTGGAAGCCGTCAGATACTATGGTTTGAGTGGTCAGCCAAGGAGTCAAAACTTACTGGTCTATCGAGAATGCATAAATTGCATCGTTTAGCATAGTTATAAAAGTCCTGTGCGGCCTTGGTATCTGCAAAAGAGACACTAGCCATGTGGTCCCTAGATCGGAGGAAGACGTCCACCAGAGCACCTCCTCGTACGGCTGCGGTGATGTCTCTGTGGGTTGCTCTGTCTGGGACATTTTTGATAGACACAGTTCGATTATCACTTCCATTTACTGATTGTTTTGGGGAATCATGCAATACGCCGGATGTTTCTCCATGGATAGGTATTTCCGACCTGTCATCACTGGAGAGCGAGTCCCCGTCGTTATGATAGTAATGGTTCGTTGATGATTCAGTATGAGTCTTTGCTGGTCTCTCACTGTAGGTTGTTTGATGAGTTCCGGAGCCTGATCCAGAGGCTGGTGGTCCTGCATACTTATAGGCCGACTCAGGTGAATCTGTTAACTGTGTTGGCCGCCGGGTCACTTGAGTGCTTCCTTCGTAGAATTGGCCCCCATTAGTGGTGGACTCTGCCTGATAGCCAGCAGGGTCTTTGATGAGTGTCTATTCCGAGGTGTCAGCGTGTATAGTTCCCAGGACATATAGTCTGGCTCACCTCTATAGACGACTGCTCCACACCGCCTTGAAAAAGAGCCCGTTTCAGATTCTCTATACCACAAATCCATGAGTATCCTTCTCTGCCTTTGACCCTCCCATGCGGGACTAGACATACCATATTCACGACATCTGCGGATCTATAACGAAATTGTCCCCCTTGGCATCAGCAACGAGCTATCCATGCCAGAGCTAGGTGCCCACGAACCATATCATCATGATCAGATTTCAGTATTGTCACAGTGTGAATATCAGCAGGCGTATCGAAGCCGGAGGACGAAGCATTCTGCCAGCAGATGACGTCGGGTCAGCATGTCAGCTCCAGAGGCACAGGGAGGTATACTCGAGGCTTCATTTTATTAACCGAGAGCAGGGTGATACGCACACAATCGGCCCTACCACACGGGAACAAGAGATACGAGTTAGCCGTGCGACCTTAGGGAGTCAAACATGATAAAAAAGAAAGCAGCAGACGTGGGATCTGGTAACATCGGATATCTGACACCGTCAAGTAAACACATTAAAGAACCAGGGACATACCGTCTCAGCAAGGTCAGGAAGTACTGCTTCTCAATTGTCACACAAGATGCCATGGCCACTGTCTCTCTCACTGTCCGTTGACAAGGAGGATGTCAGTTGGTCTCTTCTGCAAGGGGAAAACGATGAGGATGGAGAGAGAGAGAGAGAGAGAGAGAGCGCAAGATAACACGAGGGCAAAAGAGCTCCCTCTGCGGTGGGCGCTAAGGAGGGCGGGCGCCAACAGCCAACAAGCCACAGGGGGCCGGAGTTGCATTAACTAAACTGCTGGAGAATCCCAGCCGGTGCATGGGATGCCATATGCCATTTGTGCTGGCAGCATCCAGGGCGAGGACTTACTTGCTGGGTTGCGGTGCTGGTGGGCGAAAAAACGAAGCTGATGCCGGTCAAGCAAGTCTGGGGAAAGCTCTCGCCCTGCAGTTAACTAACTAATTAATTGACTAGTTTAGTTTAAGTAGCTGGAGAAGGACTAGGGATGCCCCTGATACGAGATGAAGAAGCTTATCCGCGATGTTTAGATGCGCGAGCAGACAGATCGGTAGATTTATATAACACTGCTGAGAGCAAGTAGTCATCTATAACTAGCATATGGGCGTTTCTGCGAGAGGGTAACCCGCCGGTGAGCCTACCATCCGTCCTGCTACACGGCGGCCCCCTTAGCTATCCACACGGTCCTAAAACCTACAGCGGTGTATGGCAACTAACACGTAACAGATTAACGGTTTAGTTAGATAGCAGTAACCTGGTGGAGGTCTTCTGCAGGTGCCGTTTTGTAACAGCTGGCGGGTGGCGGCTCCAGTCGTTTGATAGATGGCCTGTCTGCAGGAGAAGACGGCCCCTTGCTGACAACCTGATAACCTGATAACATTGATGGTTAGTTACCTGCTTAAGAGGCACCTTTTGACTGACAACAACTAGGTCACAGTGTTTATATATTTGTGCATCTCAGGGCACTTGGTTTTGTCGTTTACATCCCGCGGCTGAACCACAGTCAGGAGTCAGGACCCTTGGTTCCTCGTACAAACAAGACTATCTCAACCACGGTAACCAACTCGAGAAATATATTCCTAATCACTAACTACTAGTCAGTCTTGGTCAACTCTTCGGTTGCTCGATGTTGACGTCATGGCCGCCGTTTCGCTTCCCCTGGACCGACAACCCAAAACTCGCTTCGATGATGTCGCTGACGGAGTCACCAGCAGGGTTTCTGCCCAATATTCCGGCCCCTTCTCCAAGAGACGAACGGGGCAGAAGTTCCCTGCTCGGGCTTAAATAGTGGTTATTGGAGAGGCAATAATGCAGCCAGTGGACAGTTGGACCCGTTGATGGGGCTCTGCGGAAGAAGGCACGAAAGGGAGGATAACATTCTGTGATAACCGAGAGGCTCATTGATTGGATTGACTACTAGAGTTACATCGTTGCTCAGGTCTGACTGCTGCCATTGAGCCGGGAATATGAGCTCATGGACAGCAGACAGATAGTAAAACTATCTAGTTGCTTGATAAATTCAAATGTGAAAGAAACTCGGCCTGAATCCCTAAATAGGGGCAAAGGGAGGGAGGGGGGGGGGGGGGGGGGGGGG